TACATCAGCACTTCATAAAATAAATGGACAAGTCAATGTTTTATCAGGTTTGTGATGAGAAACATTCGGAGCAGGTGTCCGGAGAGGACGCCTCAGTCAAACAGAGTCACATTCCCACTACAGGAGATTAGTTTTGCCTTCTTTGAATTCAAACGGGGGCTCCGGTATGTGTTCACGCACTTTACACGCTCCCCTGAAGCTTCAACGCCAGCGGAAATCAAAGTTCCCCTAAAGTCAGGCGCTGCACCACCACAGTGATGTGTTTTTAGATGAACAATCTGCAGGACAAATGGCGTTGGTTGGTCGGTCGGTTGATTGCGTGATGTTTTTAAGGTTAGCTCATCTTCTGGTGATGCTGGCCTGTTTGACCCAAACACGTGGACTCGCTTTCTGCCTATTTTACTGTTCTAACTGCCTGAAATGACCACTTTTTAAAAACGTGTTTATTTATTTATACCCCTCTAGAGTGCATGGAATGTATTCACTGTAATTATTGACTATGCATCAGTGATCTCTCCTCCTGTCTCGTCCATCTTTTCCCACCTTCTTACTGACTTTCTGGCAAGACAAACACACATAAAGTCACACTCGCTCTTACACAACCAGCTGGCTCCCTAATAAGACACATAGCATCAATGAAACGTATCAGGTTAAATGTCAGGAGAGAAATGCGGATCAGAGTACTTCACAGGCCAACGGCCAGTCTGACCCCCCACAGGACCCTCAGACCCCCTGCATGCGATACTCTAATCAAACTGTCTCCATTTAACTAGCTCGCTAATTCATGAGTTCTGGCTCAGGGCGGTTTTACGAGAAAACTCAGGAGCTTTGTAACTTCACAGATGATCTCTTTATTATGAATCTGCTGCTTTTAATCACACCGAGAATGACAAGGCGGCTGAAACCTGGACGGCAGGGGAGTGAAGGTGATGTTAGGAAAAGCAGAGGTTCAAATGGGAACAGAGTGAAAAGGTCAAAGGTCAGAGTCAATCGTTATCAACTCTTGCTTTGAAGTTCACAGGAACCCGAGCCAGCTTTTTGACACCTTGATTTATATGGCTGGGAGTCTTAACATTGGGGTTAGTAGCACATGTTGGGCTTTTGCTGCAAGCCTCAAGTGGACATTCAAGGAACTGCAGTTTTGGCACTGAGACACTTTGTTGCCACCTGTTGGTGCAGATAAATTTAAACCACTTCTTATGTTCTTACCTTGGGCTTTAAAGAATGTATTTTTATTATAAACATACATTTATTATAATGTATTATTTTTTATTATTATAATTTAGTTATTAATTTTATCATTATTATTATTATTGTTATTATTATTATATTATTATTGTTATTATTATTATTATTTATAAAAAATACATACTCCTCAAACAGGGAGTCTTAACGTTGGGGTTAGTAGCACATGTTGGACTTTTGCAGCAAGCCTCAAGTGGACATTCAAGGAACTGCAGTTCTGGCACTGAGGCACTCTGCTGCCACCTGTTGGTGCAGATTATCATGTATTTTTATGATCAAGTAGTTTTTGTAGATTTGTCTCCCTTTGGACAAGGTTTTGGGATAACACCATAACACGCTATCAACCTACTGCCAATAGCTCATCCAGATTTTTAAGTTTGTGATGATTTTGGCGCCTCCTGCGGACAAAACGTACCAATTACTTGGTTGTATCTGATGGAAAATCTCTTCCTGCGGTCTTTAAACTGTCCTATGCATCTTTTACCATCTATGTTTGCAGTTTCAACGACATGTTCAAAAAATGTCCATACTGAAATGATCGATTATTTCACTAGTGGTCTTGTGTTTTAGGTCATGCAGGGACATCAGTTTTAATTTTTTACGCCTGTTGCATAACAAGTTATGGGAACCTCACAGCTCCTTTTTAAGAGGCTTTAAACTCTACAGTACAATCTTAATCATTCTGTAACTTACCAAGAACTAATAAAACTGACCTGGTGTTGGTTTTACAAGCAGATATGTTTAAGTTTACTCAGTGAATGTGGAGTGGGTTTCACAAGCAGATATGATACTGTCTAATACTGGATTCACAATGCTGCATTGGCTGTAACATGATATGCATCTGTGCGCAGTGATTGTATGTGAAACATGTTGTGTTGTGACAGTGGGAGGAGGAGAGCAGGTAAACAAGGCCTCATCTGCCCTCAGCTGCAGACAGATCTGGACCTTCTGTATTAACAAGATGAATTATATTGTTAAAATGTGTCCGAATTTATTCTTTCTAGTACTTTCTGTAACTTTATCAACTCTGTAATTTAAGATTTCTTTCATGCAACAAAGTCAGAGACGAGTCATGAGTTATTGGAATTTTGGACGACTAAAACTAGAATTATTGTTCACAAGTTAAAGTAAATGTTATAAATATGTAGGTCGTGCATGCTCCATTACATAACTACATTAGATGCAATTTTAAAAAACAGTATTTGATAAGATAAAACAGCAATAACTAATCACTTTAAACTGCTAAACATGCTCTAACTTGTTTGGATCATTATTTTACAGTTTTCCTCTGATTATGTAACTCATTTCCTAAGGTGATCTCCAGATGACATCAGTTTATCTTTCATAAGGCCTATTAAATCGAACATGCAGCAGTTTTTTTGTTGTTTTCGTTGACACCTAAGACTGTTATTTACGACTCCTCCTGTTTTTATTAGACCGGGCAGCCGTTCAGCATTCTGCGGTCTGTGGCGGCTCCCTCGCTCCCTCTGACCTCACCGTCCTCTCGCTCTGTAAATCCAGCTGACTCTCTCTTTTCCACACAAGTGTCAAAGATCTAATGTTCTCCCCCGGCAGATGAACTATACAGTAGCCCATCCTGACACCGTCGCAGCGTGAGAAAACAGAGACCAAAAGTAAAAACTGTCAGGAAACAAACCTGCAGGAACAACATGCTTGTATGCAACTGAATATTAGTGTGCTTTAGGTCTCGACTTCCATCGTTTGGCATCATTACATCTCTTATGTCTTGAGAGGTGTGCAGACATTGCAAGAGCAGGTGAAAATTTTGCAGTTGACGATGCACAGCCAGCTTTTTCCACACATAGGCGATACCTTGGCGGCCCGTCAAAGTATATTTACAAACTATTTTAGCATTTCATTCCATCCAAGATTGCTTGTTTCTGTCGATAAACTAGAAAACGATTACTGCATCTTTGTTTGATTGTATCTCCACACCTGCTTAACAGACAATGTAAGGACTACATTGGTGCATTTGCCTTGACTGCAAATGCTAATACTAGGGTGACCATATGTCCTCTTTTACCCGGACATGTCCTCTTTTTTGGGGGCTGTCTGGGTTGTCCAGCCTTGTCCGCGGAGTTTATAAAAACTGAGTTAGAGGCACATAAAAGACACTCGATCCGACCCAAAAAACTCTCAAAATTAACTTCGTGCGACTCAGTGACTCTGGCCCCGCATAGTCATGTCCTCTTTTAGGGAAGTGAGAATATGGGCCCCCTACTGATACAGCATATTTTGATCATTTTCATGCATCATAAAAACAGTTTTGAGAGGATGGTGTCTCATTAAACATTTGTTTATGGTGGTTTTATTAATTAATCAATCGATTAATTTATGCTTCTGTCTTAAGTTTAGGTTGTCAACGCTTTTATTTTAAAGTAAATTGTCATGGTCCGGACTTAAACAGAAAGGGAAAAGGATCCAAAATGCAGATCAAAAAAAGGATTTATTTAAAAAGAACGAAATAAAACAAACAACAGAAAGAGAAAAATCCAAAAGGAAAAATCACAGGGAGCAGCTCATTCAACTCATTCAGGCAAACACTGGTTATTTCTCAGATATTCATGTTTGATGTCAGTTTGCTAAGTCACCCATGATGGATCTGAGTGGTTGCATTGGAACAACTATGTTCAGCGTGTGACTTGGCTGGACCGCGAGTCTCAGCGGTCAGAGCTTCGGGGCACGGCACGTACATGGGTGCTGAAAGGTTGTAGCATCAAATTTACAACTGAGGATCTATTTTAGAAAACATCTGGGTAAGCTCTCCAGATGGTGGAGCTTCATGCGTGTGTACTGTGTACTTCCTTTAATGGATACAGATATATGCTACAGTATGGTTTCTTTACTCCACATCGTAAAAATAGATATGAATTTGCCAAACTAGGGCAGACAGTAGATTTAAAAACAACCAATATGACCTTGAGTTTTGCCTGGAACCCACAACCCAAACTGCAGAGGGGAGTTTATAAAAACGCAAAAAACATGATGCAGTTATAGTTCCACAAATTCCACTTTTAAATGATTTTATTAACAAACTTTAAACATAATTTTGCTTCGTACAATGTCGACAACATTCAAGGCAGATGTGTTATTGCTAAACACACAACTAGATAGTAGACAGAGAGAATATTTACCGTAAAAAATAAGAGACAGAGTTACGCAGTTTAATACAAAAGCTCAGGAAAAGTGCAAACATTTCTAATGCTACACAAGCATGAAGACATACATGAATATTAGCCGTTAGAAAGTGACCTTGGGCAATTCATTCCTCGCCCTTGAAGAAATATAAAAAGACGAAATGAAACAAGAGTGCTGAGGTCCTTGCACCACAGGCAGACGTGTTAATGGCATGAAAAACCGTGCACTTCTGCTGTCTATACAGTTATGACCTGCTGATTTATTCACCCTACAGTGTTCGTCCGGATAGAGATGCATCAGGCTAAAGTCGGTGCAGTATCTTTTACAAGGACACGGTAGCATTACAGCCGCACAAAACTCAAATAATCCTCCGAACGGCAGCTGCTACACTTTTTTTCTGTTCGCCAAATAAGTCCAAAATATTAAAAGGAATCTGGTTATCGGCAAAAACAACTTAAACCATCAATGAAACAACCGTCAGTCTCGAGAATGGTTACGTGTTTTTCTTGCTCTTCCTTATCTGAATTGAACATGTACTGTTGTGTTTAAGGGTTTTTGTTCGTATCGCACAAGAGTTCATCTCAGCAGGACTCTCTCTATCGCTCTCCTCTCCCCTCCATCTCCTTCATGTTCCCGATGGCGCCTTTTCCTCTGCTTTTCTTTCTCTCCTCCTCCAATCGCACCCGTTCTCTCTCCATCAGCCACTCCCCTCCGAGGTAATTCAGTCCGTCCTCAGGTCGCCCACGAAGCCTGGGCCTTGGGTCGAGGAGCGATAAGAAGAAAGACCGAGCCAGTGGGGTGAAAGATGCGAACTGGGGTGCAACAGGAGAGCGGTCTTTCTTTCCTAACTGTTCGCCTATTAAATCAACCTGTGCGCCCTCCTCTTGAGGCTCCGCCCACACGTCCAGTTCGTCTTCTGGGCCTGTTGCCCTCTCAAACCACTCCTGGTATTTTTGGTATGCGAAGCAGTCGTTGGCTGTTTCACCCCAGGGGTGACTTCCTGTGAGCATGGCATAGGTCAGGATCCCGAGGGCCCAGCTGTCCGTGCTGGGCTCCACATTCACCCAAACTCTGCTTTTCTTCTTCAGCTCTGCGTCACTCTTGATGTTGTCATTCATGCTCCCCCAGCTGTCCTGATTGTCACGAGCGATCTCAGCCTCAGGGGTGCAGTACGGCGAGCTGTACCAGACCTCTGGGACTCTGGTACCTTTGGCCTTTACCTGGTGTAGAAGATTCACAGATCAGTCACTTGTTTTCAAACACAGAAAGACTTAAAATAGTTGGTATCTTCAGTCAATGCATCAACTAAACCCATCCCTCTACCTACGTGGTCTGTCACTCTACAAAAAAACAGCAAATCTCTACCTCTTTGCATCCATCTTGGAATAAGGAGTAAGGATTCCTGTTGTATTATCAGACCAAAGTGTTAAAGCCGGGTGTGTGTTCAGTACTGACCATGCCGAAGTCTCCGAGTTTGACCCATCGACAGGCTGAGTCGCACAGGAAGACGTTCTCCGGTTTGAGGTCACGGTGCACAAAACCGAGTGAGTGCAGGTGGGCCAGAGCGCCACAAAGCTGGGACACCACCCGCTGGCAGCAGTCCTCCTCCATCCCGACCTGAAGAGGACAAGGATATGTGAGTTAATCCTACAAAGGTCAAGTCTGATGAACCAGGGGAAGACAACAACAACTCCCCTGATGACTGTTTACCTCAGGCAGGATAACGTCGAAGAGATCCCCGAAAAGACTCGCCTGCTGAGCGAAGACGTAGTGTGACGGCGTAGAGTAAGCGATTCCCAGAGCTCTGGTCAGGGACGGGTGAGTACAGAAGGAAAGAGAGAGGTTATACTCCCTCAGGAAAGAGAGGAGAGAGGTCGATTCACGAGGGAAGAACTTCAGGGCCATGGGAGTGCCTGGAGGATACAGAGGAGAGATGTTAGCGTTTGTGTTTTTTGAGGCTTAATTTGACTATTCTGATCACGTGTTTCCTCCTCTTACCTCTCTCCTTGTGTACAGCCAGCATGACTTTACCGTACGAGCCTTCACCCAGGAGCTTCAGCATCTTGAAGTGCTCAGAGGTGTCCATGGCTGGCAGGGACTGAGCCGTCAGGTGACACATCTCGTCTAGAAGCTTTGTGGCTGCCTGAAGGGAAACAGAAAAAAAGGACAGTCAGTGGGTTTACAGGCACAGCTTAATCGGACTAAGCTCATAATTTGTTTTATTTTTATGGGTCTTTTCAACGGCGCTGTTTCCGGTTAGGGTTAATGGCAGGTCTGTGCCAGATGTCAGAAGTGGCTAAAACTGCTGCTGGGCAAGAAGACGAAGTATCGTACAGTGTTGTTTTTGTTGTACATGAAGTACACGCAACTTTTTCTGCAGATGAGGGGGAACGCTACTCCTCTTCTCTGGTGTTTTTGTTCCGGGGTTACAGGGGCGTGGCGCACGCACATGCATTGCCCGACCATACTCTGACTACGCCGGTTACAAGGTAGAGAAAATTGAAATCCAATCGCATTATCTGGGTGTCTTAATCAGAGTTCCTAAAAGTCCTAAAGTCTTAATCGGAATAAGGCAATAATTTGGTTTTCTCAAGTGTCACGTAAAGGTACTGACTGATGGTGTTTGTGATGTTTGATTACCGGGTGCGGTCGCACACATAGAGGCGGACAAGGTTCTGGTTGTTATTGTCTCCCATGTAAAGATTTCACATAGTTACATCATAGTTAAGCCGTAGGTCTAATGGAGAGACATCTAGAGTGTCAGAGTGGAATGCACTGCAACTGTTGGAGTGGTGGTCATCGTCATGGTGATGCTGCCAGCGCTTATCCTCGGGTATAAACATGTCTGTTAATAGAATCCTGAGATCCTCCTGCACTTACACGCACACACACACACTTTGCTGCGTCTGTTGAACGTTGATGTTTCCACCACAGCTGGCACCCTGGAGTCCAGGCTGGGGTTCGGTGTCGCCGTTCGTCCAGACATGAGGCCAACCCATTACGGCTCATTAGGGAATAACTCCAGCCGTGAATATGCCGTACACGGACACTGCGAATTCTCTCTGAGGTTTTGATCATGTCAACAATCCCAGAAACGCCAGGAATCACAACAGAGTGGTTAGAGTTAATGATCTGCAAAATGATGCAGAAGGACTAGACTCTCTCCTGGACACAGATGTTAAAATATTGCTAAACAAAAAGCAGCAGAAGCGAGGTACGACTCATAGATTCACAGTTCTACCTTTAAGTTTCTCGATACACATTCAGTGTCAAAACATCGGGTCAAGGTCTTGTACATCAGCTGTGTTTGTGAATACAGTTATAGTGTGGGTGGTCTCCGTGGAAACTGACCTCTGACCCTCTGAGTGTTTGTACTCTGCTCTATCACTGAGCTATTCAGGTCTGTCTGGGACACACACTTCAACACCTAAAGGCCTGATATCACTCAGCTCACTTTACATTTGTCTATAGGGCGTTATGTAACACAGAAGTAAACTGGTTGTTTACTGCAATTATTTATGGATTAGGAGGAAAATTTAGAGATGAAAAAGACGATATTGTAATATGTTTTTAATAAGTTTTGCTGTTCCTTTAAAGGGATATTCCGGCATAAAATTAATTTAGGGTCAAACACACCGTAACACTGAGTTAGACACCCCCTTGAGAGATGAATGTTGCCGACCGCTTGCTTCTTGCTTCTCCAAAGTCTCGCTACAATTAAGCGGCTGCTGGAAGGGAGTAGTTGAGCTGTTTTTAGTCTCTTTGCTAAAGAAATTAGGCAAGGTTAAAAAGATGTTTGGTGTCTAGTACTATGGCTGGGACCCTATATGTACTGTTGATGAAGTTAAGTGCTGTTTTGAGCATTTTTAGTGGCTATAGAGTGGCGTTTTGGTTGAGGTTTGTTTATGGCTCCTCAGACCGCTGTATATTGCTATCTGCGGTCGTTACTGAAGTTGGTATAACTAGAGAAGCAAACGGTCAGCAACATTCATCTCTCCTGGGGGTTTCTTACACGGTGTTACGGTGTGTTTGACCCTAACTTAATTTTACACCGGAATATCCCTTTATAATGTCACAAAAACAGTTACTTGTAGGAAGTTTGCAACCACACTTTGTGATGCAAAACTAGAAACTCATGCAAATTGTATGTGCAAAAAGATGCTCTGTAAAGTGAGTAGTTTAGACCCGGAAAAAACATCAAAAGTTTCCTGTTCATCTGAGTTTTTAGGATTGCCTCATTTCTGATTACATCATCTTCGGTTACCTTATCTCATGAAAATCAATCCAATTCATATTACCACAGCTTACAGCATCATCTATGAGGGATACTCAGCCTTTAGCAGCTGCACTGTGACACCATTAGCTCCAATTTTCTGTCCATCGTTTTACCCATGCTGATTATTGATGCACATGACTTCAAACATGCCGTCACGTGTCCTCAGACTTCAAAGTGCTGACTGAATTATCTGTAAGTGCATCTGTATCCGGTAGAAAACTTGGGGCCTACGGTTAATATTTATCTAAGACTTCATTTAATGTGTAAGATAGTGAAATGCATAGTCATGTAAACAAAGACACTTGCAAATTATCTATCAGAAATAAAAGCAAATTCATATATTAATACTTAAATATCCTGATGAAAAACTGAGGATTTAAGTAATCTGGTTTAGAAAGTCTCGATTTGTGCTTAAGTGAAGGTAAAGTAACAAAGAAGATTTATTGGTTCATCAAAATGTCGGCAAAATAACATCCAAATCGTGATGATATCTCATGTGATTGGTGGTTAAGATGGAATTCAAAACGCAGCATATCTGAAGCGTCAGAGCTGATGGGGTTTAGTGCGTGAGAAGGTGACACCAGCCCGAACATCCCTGTTACATAAGAGACTCACACAAGGTTAAACCCCTACATGTCATGTCCTCTACATGGAAATCGAACCCAACACCAGCGTGATGAATGACAAGATGTTCTCTCTGAGCGTGTGCGTGTGTGTATGAGTGTATGTAATGGTATACACTCTACTGTCAGCACATGGTACACATTCAGGGATAGGGCTGAGCTATGCGGCCAAAAATATTATTATAATTGATCCATATAGGTCAACATCAGAATTAAGAGGACCTCCGCGTCTGATTTATTAGTTTGAAAAGTATCCTGATTATGCTGGAAAACTTAAGTCAGATTTTAATTCAGTTTATTGACATGCACTCAAGATTTTAAAGGCACATTTTTTAATGTCAAGATAAAAGTAATCAAGTTAAAGGGAGTTACAAAAAAAATTTCTGCTTTACACTGAGCGAAACAGAGTGTCAGGAGGGGCTGCAAGCTGAGCTGCTGTCAGCTACATTTACTCATTTACAGAACAGTATTTCTTCGATGTTTATTGTTAAATAGCAGATAAATTGTCTACAGAAGTCGCTTCAAACAGACCCTGTGAAAAAAACAATGATCAAAATGAAGACAAGGGGATTTATGTGCAAAATCAGTAATGTACTGAGTCTATTTGTGTCACTTTCGGGGCACTAAGCTGAGCTGCAAACAGCTAAACTATGAGCAGAAGTTGCATTGAAACTAATAAACTATAAGAGAGACAAGAAAATGACTGTTTTAGATTCATGCAAAAAAGCTCTTTTTTTTGTTATTTGGGGGACTGCGAGCTGAGCTGCAAGCCCAATAGACCTCAACTAAAACCCTGACTGATCTGTATTGAGTGGAAATTTTCCCAAAATTTTACAATTATTGACAAAAATCTGTCCTGATTATGATGTTTTACCAAAAAAGTTAAGTCCTATTTTCAAATATCAGAGTACAGCAGTAAACCATCTTTGACATGATTAGTAAAAACATGTTTTTATAGCAGTTATACATGTAAAAAAGGACTTTTAATTAGTCTTTCAACATTAATGATCGATTGTTTAATAATTCAATTTAAGATTTGAGGATTTAAGAAATCCATAAAATCAGGTCTTCTGTGGATTTCCTATTTGATTTCCTAAATAAACTCATATCTTATCCTTAAAAATCTCCCTTTTTAAAAAATTATTTAGTGAAATCCACAATAATTGTCCTTCAGTGAGGGACTCCTTGCACCAGCTTTGACCTACCGTCATTTTGCAGCTCTGTTTCAGTTCAGTCTCTGATCTTCAGTGAGAAATCTGTCCGGCGTAAATATTCCTTGTCATCTAGCAGATGCACTTGTCAAGAAACCCTTCACAGACCCTCCTCAGACGTACCGCTCTTCTTCAGCGCAGAAACAGACGCTCAGCCTGCTGCAGAGAGAGTCTGGATGAGGGTTACAGTCAGTGGAGAAACTCTGCAGGAGGATTTCATGTCTGCTGCTGCTGCAACTTTTATCCCAAAGTGATCTGTCCTCACCCTCACTCCTCCCCCTGTCCTCCCTCTTGCGTACGTTTCTGCTCAGGACAGAAAGAGAGAAACTTTAACCCTCACTCCCAAATGAAATAGATATTTTTCTCCCTTTTTTCATTTTGAAATCAACATTTGCTCCATAAAGAGAGAAATTCTTGCCTTTTAATGTGCAAGAATTTCCTCTTTACGATGCCCAGTAACCAAATGTCATTGAGGTTTTTGCAGTTTACTCATGTTTTGAGTTATGTTCATGAGCCATTAGCATCTCTTCTTTCATCCTGGCTGTGCTAAAGTCTGTCTTTATAAAGATGAAGAGCTAAACGAGTGAGGAGAGCACTGTATTGTAGTGATGTGGGGGAAATTTGATGGCTTTCAACAAAGTTTCTCCTAAAATTGAGCAGGTAAGAGCACTTTGTTCATAGAACTTTTAAAGATATACTTATATAGTTTCATATAATGAGTAGTTGATGAATAATTCTGATGTTACAGACCCCAGATCTGACAGCTGGAGCCAGGTTAAATGTTTCTGTAGATAATAGGGACAATCACTGGCAGTCTTATTCCTGACACATGCATTTAATTTCTAACACTTCTATCACAACAGCTGCTCTTAAACTAATTATCAGGTTTAAAATCTTTCCCCAAAACTGATCGCATCTTTGAACAAACTGAATATTCTACGTTCACAACTCATCAGTTATGTATGTTGCAGGCAAAACACTTTTAAATATCTAAGTTACACCTACAACACCCAAAACATAACCTACCAAAGAGCTTCTGTAGCTGCATCAGGCTACTAGCCAACTATGGGAAGCAAAAATTTTTTGGAGAATGGTGGGGGAAGGTCTCGCCCTATTTCGCCTCTGATTGGCTAGAAGTGCTCAGCTCTGATTAGTTATTCCTTATGGCTGTGAAACGTCATCGTCTGTCAGGTTTGGGTTTGGGTTAAGGTTAGGAGATACAGAAGTGCGATAATGTTCCGTAACGTTCTGTTCGATGTACTGAGTTGACAGCCTGCGTTTGGCTTGAGCGTGTGATGATGTTTCCAGCTTTTCTAGTCAATCAGAGGCGAAGGGGGCGGGACTTTACCCTAACATCCTACAATATTGCCCCGGAAGGTCCTCACTTAGCTAATGGGAAATCCCATAGAAAAGTGGCGAAGCTAGCTGCGTTAGCATTACACTTCTTAACTTTTGCATCACATACCCGTGATCGTGACATTTAAGAAACTGTTAACAGGTAGAATCCTGAAACAGGCAGCAGGTGTCATCTCTATAGGATCTGTCAGACTTAAGATAACAGGATAACCACATAAAGCTATTTCATTACAGAGCTCCCCCTTGTGGCATAAATTGGAACTAAACTCAAAATAGGAATATGAACAAATTTACAGTAATTAACCTTCCATGAATTACTTTAAAAATTATATCATAAACAAAATAGGTGACATACAGTATGTTACCACAGATTTGCGTGTCACACCAGTGTGTATTTTCTCTCACTGTGCCTCTTTATGACGTCCGGACAATATTTAGCCATTTATCCATCAGTCAACACATCATCACCTGTCACTCTCACTCCCTGCAAACAAAACACCTCTTTCTCTTCTTCCCTCCCTCTCTCTCTTTCTATTTACAGCAGGAGGATTTTCCTCTAACACCTCGACCCCCCTCCCTGCGTGAGGTAGCTCCGACTCTCAGCTTCAGGCTCGCTCAGACTGTCCCTGCAGGCGGCATCAGTTACACACAGTCTGAGTCTGAGTGTGTCTGAGCGTGTGAGCTCATCTGTCTGAAGCCACATGTCAACACGGCCACATTATGCAAGTCGCAAAGTGTTACTACAGGTCGTTTATATGTGGTCTGCATTCATATGTGTGTTAGTCAAGTTTAGGTTTTCAATTCAGAGCTCTATGAATGTTTGCATTTTAGCAGAAATTATTGAGTATGGTTAGATGAAGATTGTCGGGCACTAATACTGTCATGAGAAGAAGAAATTTGAAAGATACCACAGTGAAACTGCTAAATTTTCCTGATATGTTTATATTTTCTTTTCTTTTAATGTGAAGTTATTGTCTGATAAAGGTGAAGTAGGCAGGATCTGAGGAAGTGCCAGTTTTTGGGAGACATCTTGAATATAAACTCTACCCCTCCCAACCAGTTTTCCCCTCAGCTCCTCCTCTCCCCTCCCTCTCCGCTCCAACAAGCCCCGCCCACAAACAGACGCTCCTGCTCGCTTGTATCCTTCCAGTTAAATTCAGCTATAATGCAGATAAATACTTCAGATAATTACAAATGGGGCCCAGTCAAGGTGAAAGTCAAAAGCATTAGTACTACTGCAGATGCAAACAGACTACCAGCAAACACAATGTTTGCAGGACTTCTACAACTAGGATAAAGTGACATAGTCCAGGACCCGAGGTCAACAGTTTAGCGGCGCTACAACACGCTACAGCAGGTTCCATTTGACAAGAAACACTTCTGTTACAGACACTTGTCTTACTTTGTTAAAGGGGTTTACCTGTCCAGCAGAAAGGTTACAGGGTCAGTAAGATCCTAAAGCGCCCCCCAAACTCTGCATTGATACTGACCCGGTTTCCGAGCTCTTGTCCGGTCTACCTCCTTTTCAAAGCGCCCGTTATTCCACCAGAGTCTCCGGTATTTACTTTGTTTTCTTGCTTGTGTTGGCAGTCGTGGCCAAAGGAGGATTCAGACAATTTTCTGTACTTTCTGGTTGCTTTCTACCGTCCAATACTGAAGCACGCTAACTTTGTTTGGGCTTGTGAATGTTATTGGAGGACGTGGAGCGTGCCTCACAACATTGGGGAGCAGCATCTGCCTCACAACCAATCAGGTTGGGGGACGGAGAATGGCTTTGTTTACAGTCAGAAAGAGCGGGCCGCTCAAAATTTTAAAATGTCGACTACACAGACATGAGAGAACACAGTGATATCATTATATTCCCAAATGTCATCAATAACTTATAGCTATTGGCTGATATTCAAAGCTTTTTTGTTTATACACCACAAAAACAGATGCTTCTTTAACGGATTTCTGCCTACCCCACCTTTAAGTTTAGTACTTTAGGGCTGCAAGCTCTGTAGCATTAGGTTGACATTTGGCTAAACTGTATTGAGTGAACATTTTCCAAAATATCTAAAATATCACTGCCATAGGTTAAAACCTGTTAATGAATCCAGGTTAACTTTGCTGTGGTTTGTTATTTCCTCCTGTTTTTTTGTTTTGTTCAAGTTTTACACAAATTCAGCTCGAAAAGTGTGATTATGAACTCGTACAGAACACCAGCACGACTTTGTTTCAAGTTTCAAGTGTAAACTTTATTCAAGACTTCATGTAAAAATGACAAATAAAAGTATAAATAAAACAGTGAAGGTCACTATATGACAATACATTATACTTATTAATATTATTATTATTAAATATTAGAAATAGAAAAAAAGTGAGATGCCTGCATCTCACACTATACATAAAAATAATGTAAAAAAAAGCTCATAAATAGCACTAAATAGGTTACAAAAACAACAATATAAAAATATTAACTATTCTGCGTCATTTTCTCATCACTGAGCTCACGGGTGAACTCGTAACAGGCACTATGATGTAAACAGTCTCAAAAGGGGTCAAAGGTCAGAGATGGGACTACCTCTGCACAGTGCATCATCAGTTTCAAATGCTACAGGCAAAATAAGACATATACATATTGACCTGGTGGTGGCGCTACATCAGAGGACTAAAACATCCTGAGGGCAGTTTTAACATCTGAACATAATGCCATAGCAGTCCCCACAAAAATGTATTCAGATATCGAACATCAGAGCAAAACAAGAACAAACTAGAGTGACTGAGTTTGTACAGTTCAGTCTCAGGGGAACATGAATGCTTGTACAAAGACAGTAAGACAGCTAAGAACAGTCACCAAACTTAAATGGGTGCATCCTCTGGGTCATATGACAGCTTGTACCAAATTTAGGACTACCTCTCTTGGTAAATATTGGCATAGTTCACCAAAAAACTCAGTCAAATTCAGTTGGGTTTAGACTCTGGGGACCATGAATGCTTGTAAAAATGTTTTGAGCCGATCTAATACACTGATGTGTGGAATATTTTTGACCAAATCAGTAAAATAGCAGCTGGAATAGCGACAAATTTAAGCGGGGTCCATCCTCTGGGGATTATGAGTGCTTGTACAAAATTTCATCAGAGGATCATCAGGGGGATGTGGGACGAGATGACAATATCAGAACTGCCAAGTGTTTACAGTTCATCCAAGTTAAATAGCTACAGAAGGATGTGCAGGGTTCATCCTCTGGGGAAGATGAATGCTAACACAAACTGATAAGGCCTTTCAATCTAGAGGTATTGACATATTTCACATAGCTACTGGAGGAGTCACAACAGTTGAGAATTCACCTAGTTCATCATCTGGGGATAATGAATGCTTATTTAAAATGTATGGTGACATTAAAGAGGAATTTGAGGGTCTACAAGACAAGCCACCAAATGAACAGGGTTCATCCTCTGGAGATATGAACGTTTGTGTCAAAATTAGAGCGATATCACCCAATCAGTGTTGGAATATACAGCTGATATGTAAAATAGCTTTTGGAAAAGTCCCAATATTTAGAACGATTTATCGTCTGAGGAGCATGAATGTTTGCGCCAAAATATGTGCCAATACAATCAATGGTGGTTGGAATACTTGCACCAAACTTCAAGGCAATCCATCTTGCAGTATGTTGACGTTTCAGTGGTTTTATGGAAACATTCGCTGCTTTAAGGTTCAGTGTCTGGGGCAGCGTGACTGTGTCGTGAGGAGCCGTAACACTCTTTTGGACCAGTGACCGAAGACCTGTAGCCGCTCAGAGATCTCGACGGAAAACTGGAGGGCTTCAAACGCCGAAGAGACGACGGGGAGGGAGGCAGAGGGTGATGGGGGAACCTCCTCGCCGATCTGAAGACGGAAAAAGACGACAAGGTTAAAATCAAATACTTCATTGATTGTCATAGCACCAGTTAGATGCACCGAAACATACTGGATCTCACCTGTTCGAGAGAACTTCTAATGAGCTTCGAAAGCTGCAGGAGGTGAGTGCTGGTGCCCCCTGCTGAGTGGGAGGACATACTGAGGTTTTCCTTGGCTGTTTTTAACCAGTCCACATGCAGCTTAAAGGACTCAGTGTAATTCAACAGCTGAGAGAGGGACTCATTCACCTGTGAGAGAGAAAATACAAACTTCTATCAGCAAAGTTCAACTTTTTGAACATTTTTTGGAAACATCAAATTCGATTAAAATTTACCTTAAGCGTTGTTAGATGCTCAGCAGTAACTATTATGTGAGGAAGATCATCGAGGTTATTTTCCACACCTTCGAAATTTGAGAGTTCAACATCTGTCTGTTGGAACAAAATAAAAAGAGTCAAAATTTAATGAGTTTTATTATAAGAATAATAAAGTTTGAGGTTTTTCATTTATAGAGCTGGTTTTGAAGTTTGACAGTCAATCTCACCAAGCCATGAAGCTGTTTGGATGACGTCATCAGTTTGTCCACCTGATGAATCATCGATCTGAACATGTGACAGAGGGAGGATCTGTGGGCGGGGCGAGCAGATGAGAGGGCGAACAGCTCAGCCAATAGCAGCAGGTGTAGAAGACAGGGAGCGGAGTCATGGAATACTAAAAGACAAGGGCAGAGAAAAGGGCGTTAAACATCAAACATTGACTTTGAGTGCAGGTATGCCGGGCTAGTTGTAAAAATCTGATAACGTGCTCATGAGGACAAAGCCGATAACTAGTGGTTGACTTGTATCGACCACTTTTACTGTTCTGAAAAGTCAGAGTTGACCCTGAAGTAACCACAAAAACCACAAACCCTGCTTCTAGGATTTACCCAGCAGTGACCACATCATTGTTTAACTTGACCCTTACCAGGGGCGCAAAAAACAGAGGTCTAGACGTCCATTAGTCATGAAAACATCACAAACGACTTTTGGCCTCGGCAGATGTCAGCACTTGCTCTTGTTTTCAAAGAGGGTGATGCAACGCCGAGTCATTCAGCAGGAGGTTGCTCACTGTTTACAGCTGCACTCGCACAAGTGCGCAGGCAGACACACAGACACACAACAACAGGTGTCTGCCGCCGCTCTGCAGAGGAGAGAGAGGGAAGCAAACTCACATTTCTTCCCTCCGATTGACCTGCTTTGTGAATCAGTGAGAAAACCACAGAGCCGCACGCCAACATGTCACACCGGGTTCATCCAGATTCAGCTGGACTCTGCTTTTAAGAAGACGTCTGATTCAGATTCAGACAACTTTATTAATCCCTGAAGGGCAATTGACTTTACAGTAACCCGCCTTGTTGTTAAACGATCAGGAACAGACAAATACCAGACATTCACAGCAGCATATGGTCCAAACATTCCCCTGTCAGCACCACAAATCAGCAATAAATAAATAGCTCGATATTTAATACATGTGCGATACGCTCACAGTGGAATGACTAAAATGCAAATGCGATAAAAAGAGTAAAATAAGAACTAAAACAATCATGAGACCCCAAAATCCAACACAGGCCACCCATCCGCTACTTCTCAGTGTTTAGCAGCCTGATCGCTGAGGGGATAAATGAGTTGGAGCACCTATTGTTTGTGTCGATATCATAGACTGTATAGAGAATGGACGGCGTCTGCCTCCTCGCTGGGTGAAGCCACTCTGAGAACAGCACCCTCGGGCTGTGACGGGCTGCAGTGTAGGTCATAAATCCCGCCTCCGCCAGCAATGATTACGTGGCTGTGGACAAACTTTAGAAACTAATTACACAGAACATAAACTTTTCTCCCCCCTGGTTGTGATGTTGACATGTAGTTATTGTAAGACTGGTTTGTGCTCAAGTCCTCTTTTTTTCTGTGCAGCTCCATTTTTTAAAGTTATTAGGGGGTTCATGTTTTCTATGATTGACACCTGATACAGCCTATTGGCGTTCAGGGATTGCGTAGCTCACCCGGGGAATACTGCGCAATGCTGGTTTCAGGAGATGAAGAAATATCCCGGAAATACCGAGAGCTTTTTGGCTTCAAATCCGTATACAGGCGGGAGGCGGAACCAGGTTGTCCATAGTATATACAGTCTATGGTCGGTATCTGCTGTGACTAATAAAACATCATTTTTTCTTAACTGTAGACTGCTGCCTATGGAGTAAACTATTATAGAAAGCATCCAAAAACCTCCCCAACTTTAAGAGTTTTAAGATATGAGAGGATTTTTATCTGTAATTCAACGATTTTATTCCATTAAAGAGTAAACGTAAAACTAATTCCTTCCATATCCTGAAAAAAATAATGTTTTCTCGATGCTAGAAAGAAGGATTCAATGACTAACAAATCTACTTAAGTACACATTTTTACTCCAAAGTGTACGACAGTGAAACACTCTCTCTGTGATTGAATGGTGGAAATTTGTCGCTTGAATATTTCCTGTGTTTTAATACCAGCTGCAGGTCTAATTTCCTTTTGAGTGAATCAGCCTCCAGGTTTAATAATTTCTTGGAAAAGCTCTTCGTCTCTTTGTCACTTTCATTCACCCCTGCAGGGAGATAATTCCCACAAATCCTCTGTGGTTCCTTCGGCCTTTGTCTCTTAAGCTTTCTCGCTCAAAGATGATCTTTATTCAAGGAAAGAAAAACTTCAGTCCGGATTCATTCAGCCTGTAAATCGATCCTCTGTTTTATGCAACTTCAGACATCCAGACAAAGAGCTGAGCTGTGAGGACGGATCGTGAGGTCAGGCTGCAGGAATGAGAGGTATGCTGCGGGTTTTTCCCCTCCTGCTTCCTCCGGGCCTCCTGCTGCAAGAGGTCGCCTGACTCAGATTCATGACATCATCAGCAGGCGCCTCAGGCTGCGGTTTTTACAAAGAAAACATGTACCCTGTTTTAAGTGGCTGACACAGTGCACTTTACACACTTTTACTATCGTTTACACACACTCACTGCAGGAACTACTTTATAGGGGGGGGGTTTAAGGACAAAGGTCACAGTGAGGGTGTTGTGCCTTTACCTACAACACCCAAGTAGACATCTCGTTTCTTTCTTTTTATTTGGTTTGTTTCTGCAGAGACAGTTTTCCCAATTCAAGAGTCACCTCGTGATCCTTTTTAAATATTGCATGACCAACATGGTCCCATTAAACAGAGACAAATCAATATTTCATCATGTCGCCCCCCTCTCTGCTCTCTCTGACAGTTTTACAGCTGAAGACAGTTACAGTCCGTTTAGATAAGGTGAACTGGAAGTGGGAGCTTCCATTTCTTATGAATTGCAAGATAAACTTAAACAGCAGCAGGAAGGTGATATGTGCCTTGAAAGCAGGGTACTGTCCAAACAATAGAGAGGATAATAATAGCACATTATTGAGCCTTAAACTACAGAATCAGCACTTGCAGATTGGTTGCAGTCCCGCCTCATTCCTCAGTGTCATTAAGAGGTTAGAACGCCATTTGTTCGTGAATGAGTGAGGAAGGAATGACCATATTTGGATTTATGGAAGTTTTCCTTCCATTTTTTCTCTTACCTCTGTCAGATAGATTGAGATAGATTGATTACTGTGCATGTGTCTCCTTTGGTTACATTACATCCCTTGGTGTCTAACTTGGTGTTACATGTGTTTGACCCTAAATTAACTTTACGCCGGAATATCCCTTTAAGTCACGCATGCAATTTCATAATATACAGATGCAAAATAAAGGCTGGCTCATTTCTTAAAGATTTCATGTGACACTTAAACCAGTCCTCCTAAAAAGCCGCAGTGAGGAGTTCCTCTATTCTCACTCCTTAAATCTCTGAGCTCAGGTCTTGGCTTAAATCTGAGGTTGCTAATCTCACTGCCCCGGTCGGTTTATACTCTAATTTTCTTGCAGTGTTAAGTGTTGCAATGGCTTGAAACCTCTTTTATATGATTTGCAAACAAATCAACTGAAAAAGTTGAGAAAATCACGGGTAAGAACACTTTAATGAAAGCTAAGATCTTCCGGAAAGATGCATGAGTCCGACCCAGCAAGAGTCCAATACATCCAGTAATGAGTTTTACGAGTTTCTTTTCGGCTGAAACCCAGACCAGAAATCTGGAAAGGTTATATATCTACTGGAAAACTACAGAAGAAGACCTCAGCAGAAAGCCTGGGTCACGCAGTACAAACATCGTGCAGCAGTGTGGAGAACAGTCATGGATTTGGCTGAGAAACAGCTGTGACAGCAGAACAGCTCACTGCAGAGTTGCCTAAGAAGCAGAGTGAATTATCCGTCTTTGATGGTTTTAATGGGTCACTTCGTCAGAGCTTCAAAACATCAACACACGCACGCAGACGCTCACACAAACAAGCACACACTTCAGCTGTTTCCGTCCCACTTCGTGTCAGTGAGACCTCAGAGTTTACTGCGTTTGCTCTGACGCAGCACACGCCTCATTTCCTCAGCCGGACTTTATTTTTTATCGAACTCAGTGCGTCCTGCTTGAACCCTATCAGCTTCCTCCATCACCCGCCACTTACACAAGAACTGTTAACTGCAGGAACTGGAAAAACCACAAGTGTAGTGTTGGACCTCAGGAAATACTCAAAAGCAGAACACTATTATGCTGCTCATAGCATCAAACCGGGCAAATTATCACCCGACTTTGCAATTTTCTCAAAGTTGACAAACTTTTTTTGTGACTTCGGGCTTGTTTTGGTTTTACAGCCTGCAAAATAAATGTGATAGACCTCTCTTTGGACTCTTTTTCTGACATAATAATCCACTAAAATCCACTGAATGAGCACATGGTGGTCAACAGAGTGGCGCAGTTGCAGCTAAACAAGCTGATTTTTGCCTCCAGAAGTGTTAGAGACCAAAAACAGATACTGAACTTCACAGAAACATGTGGACGATGTCACTGAGACTGTGTATATCTTTATATGCTGTCTTTGGTGGGGTTGCTCGGTACGTTTACATGACTATTGAGAAAAATGAATTATTGCCTTATTTCGATTAAGACCGGACAACTGAAGCGTAGGTTAACACCTTAGTCAGATTGGAGTCAGAGAACTCAGATTAAGACACCCAGATAAAGCGATTGGAAATCGATTTTCTCTGCCATGTAACCAAAGTAGTCAAAGTATTATCGGACAATGCATGTGCGTGTGCATGCAGTTGTAGCAACTTCTGACGTCTGGCACGGACCTGCTGTTGTTGTTGACGGTTGTATGGGGTCGGAAACAGTGTCTCTATCGTATCGCCCCCTAGGTTTGGGGAGTGCGTGTAAACACACTGAGTGTTGTGTTTAGTTGCATGAAACGCAAAACAACCAAAACTTTCCAAACACCCCGGAGTAAAGCAAACAAAACACAACAGCATCTCTCAACAAGCCTCAGCGTTCAATAATCTAACATGGAGGATTAAATTAGTCAAATTATTTCAGAAAAGGGGATGAGCTAAATGCAGAAATGCTGACCTAACAAATCTGGTTCAGTCCATGCTTCCACATTTCACACTCCTTCTGATGCAACCTCTGTGTAAAGGACACGACTTTTACTACGAGTGTTTGAGTCACTGAGAGGCTTCACGTCCTGTTTTCGCTTCTATCAACAAGCTCTACGCTGACTAACGACGGCTGCTGCAGACTCCATCTTCGAAAACATCCATCGTCTGCCCTCTCACAGCGCCCGTGCAGATTACATTACAGTAACTCTGATGATGTGCAGAGGTGACATCATCCACCGTCTGATGACTCATGTTTTTCAACCCCCCCCCCCCCCTCAGACACACACACTCACTCAGACTTTAATGGCTTCTGTTTTGGGAGTTAGTAACTAGTTAGTAATGGACTACTTGTCTTGTACGGTGAGTTTGGCAATACCACTGTATGGTAATTCGTCAGGAAATAGACAGTGCCCAGCTTCACTCTCACTAATTCTGCTATGAGTTGCTCTTGTATTCTCCATGTTTTACTCTTGTTTTATGTCTTCCCATAATAGTTTTGATTTTCAGTGTTTTCGAAGTTCTCGTCTTGTGTTTCATGTTTGGTTTCCCTTTAGTTTGATCACCCTGATCAGTTTCACCTGGGTCTTGTTAGTCCCACCTGTGTTTGATTACTCAGTGTGTTTCCTCCCCCTCCTTACCTCCTCGTGCATTTCAGTGAATGGATCCCTTGAGGCTTCTTTATGTTTTTTTCTCCAGTTAAATTGGATCTTTCTGTTCAATGTTTATATTTCGATCCTACTGGAATCATTAGCCACTGAGCGTTGGTATCTGCCTTTTGTGAAATATATTCCTCTAGAAAATCTGCATTCCCCCCAGCAAAGAAATAAACATAAAAATGATTTATATTGAAAAAAAAAACTGCAATTCCCCAGATGGCCACTAGATGCTGGTTCCAACAATGAATCAGCGCCCTTTGGACCTTGTACAATAATGTCCAACTTTTTAAAACAGAAATAAATCCTGGAAGAAAAACCTCTTTGACATCGGATTCTGAACAACCAAGAACTTTTGGACCCCAAAATTATAGCTGCAGTCCTCTAAATGTCCACTAGAGGCCAACTCTAGAAGTCAGACAACCCACATAGCTCTTTACTTGGCTTGGCAGTACTGACAAAAATATACCAGCCTGATACAAAACTCCACCATCTCTGATTCTGAACTTATGGGCAGCCTCAACAATCATTGCTTAAAATGGAAGGACAAAAAACAGCAGTTCTTCAAATGGCCACTTGACACTAGCCCCAAAAGTGAGTCAATCCCTATCAGGACCAACATCCAAATGCCAAACTTCACAGTAGAAATACACTTGTCCGTAGCATGGTACAAAAGCTCCTTGAACCATGACCCTGAACAAGCTAAAAACAAGCTGATGTAGGGCCAAAAACTGCAATTCCACAAATGGCCACTAGGGGCTTGTCCAAAAGCAGGTAAACGCCCACAACTCTAAGATAAAAAATTTGGCTTTGTTGCTTAAGAGGACATGGTAACTGCCTGCCAAAGAAGAAAAATTGACATCCTATTTTGAATACCGTATTTTTCGCACTATAAAGGCGCACCATCAATGAACGCGTTTTTTTTCATACATGAGGCACACCGGATTATAAAGCGCATTAAGCCAAACTGTCAGATAAGTCAAACTTTATTTTACTTAATTTAACTCATTCAATAACTCTGTGAGGCTACGGTAGCTACAGTGCTCCGACGAGCCATCAGGCTGTAGCTTACCAAGGTCATAATAAAACATTTTGACAGATAAAATCGGTTCGAGGTCAGTAAGCACAACCAGAATTCATACATGGCGCACCTGATAGTAAGGCGCACTGAGGATTTTTGAGAAAATTAGAGGATTTTAAGTGGTGCGAAAAATCCAGTAAACAAGACCCAAAGTAAAAAACACAGAAACTGCAGTTCCCCTGACAGCCACTAGAGGCTGTTACAGTGTCCAACTTTTTAACAAAATCAAACATATTTAGTTTGACCTCAGAATTTCATCAAAGAGCAACACCTTGAAGAAAAAAAAAATGCAGTCCCTCAAATGGCCACTAGAGGCTTGTACTAAATTGGGGAACTCTCCACTAGACGCTATGTTAAAATGTTCACTTGTTAAATAGAAATAAACATGATTACAGGCTGAAATAAAATAAAAGTTACTGAACTTCACCTCTGAATTGTGTGTTCAGAGTTTTTTCTTGCATATTTTTTAGACCAAAATGACCAATCAAACAATTCAACAAGTGCGGGTTCAGTTTTTTTGGATGAATGATAGTTTGCTGGCACTCATCGGCTGGTTTCAGTGCCAGGTCTTTGCAAAACAAGCTTGAATTTTTTTTCATGAACTGACTGTTTTTCCTCAGAAGTCAGACCAGTTGTTGAGAATTTCTCTGAGCTGCAGAGATGACAAGACATGTTAGCTTAAACAGGATCTCATTCTCTGTGAAAGGCTGTGGTTGTCCGTATGTTTAACCAGTTAATGAAAAAAAAACCACAAGCACTGACAGCTTTACTATTTGTGGTTTGAAATCCCCTTCTGGGTTCACCCCTTTCATCCAAATATGGTCACTTCTGGTTCCAAAAGATCCAGATGGCAAAGGCCAAAATAACAAACTTGAGGCTTTAAACCGAAGTCCACAAACTAATGGATGATGTCATGCTGGTGGCGTCCACCCCGGATGTTTGTTCCTGGTGCAATGACCATCACAACAGACTGAAATATACTGTAGACCCTTAAAACTTGTTATTCAAAAGAACATGCAAGTTATAAATGGTGATTTTTCAAACAGAGATGAGGACAAAACAACACGTCTGGTACAATCTAACTGCTGAGTAGGACTTAGGGAAACCCCTAACGGGACACACACTCAAAACCAGCCAATCAGAGCGAACTGTGACGTGAAACTGCACGTTGTTTCAAAAATTCAAATCCATCTCATAAAAATAACGCACCTGGAACAGCAGCGGACTTTATCTCTCACTCGCATGTTTGACATTTACTCATTAATCTCTGTTTATCTTTCATTATCTCACTCACGTCTAGAAAGTAAAAGTAAAGACCACGTGCTGAAAGAGTCCCCCCTCCTCCTCACACACACACACACAGAGTCACAAACACATTCATTCACTCACTCAGCCTGTCATAAAAGTATCACAAACAAACTTACTTTTCATCTTTCTTCCTCTTCTGCTGCTGCGGTAAACTCTCTCTGAGTCCAGAGTGTGTGTACTGTATTTGTGTCAAACTGTTTGTGTGTGTGTGGGCAAAATGTAAAAGTTCCCTTTTATAGGATAGAGTATGACACACACCTGAGTCATCAGCCATCGTCGCCATTCAGACATCAACGCCCCCCCTCTCCTCCCTCCCTCCCTCCCTCCTTTCCCCCACCTTTAACCCCTCCTCATTGAAAAAAAAAAAGCTGAAAGTATCTTTGTTTATTGAGATGATTTTTTCAATGAAATCAAAAATAAGATGTAATCAAAAAATACAGGATTGTGCAATTTCTGCTCCCTTCCTTCCTTCCCTCCCTTCTCCTCCCCTCCACTCTGTTGCCTCACTGTCTTCTTTTGTTTCACCAGATTAGGTTTAGTTCAGTTGGCTGTGTCTCATCCATTTATGAATTCGTGCTAAAAGAAATTAGCGGTATACGCAAGGAGGGGATGCAAAAGCGACCCTTAAAGCATGCCATTCATAGTCCCCACTTTGACGCCTCTAACCATCTCAGTGGAAATTACCCTGACTGTGCCCTTCCAATGGATGATATGTAAAAAGATGCTCTCTGAATGCCCCTGTGTTGGTTAAAATGTTAAATAGGTGCCCTCTGGATGCCTTTCCAGGGGATTAAATGTCAAAAAGTGACCCCTTATGTGCACTTCAGGTGATAATGCGTCCAGTTTCGAGTGGATTAAACATTAACAATTTATGAGTACTGATCCTTGGAGCTCAGTCGCGAGAGTTTGGTGAGTTCAGACTCAAATCTGGAGGATTTTCCTTTACCGTGGTTAAAGTAGACATGACTCTGTAGTGGAAGTCACTGCATCCTTTCTTTGTTACTGCGTCGACAAACACAGGTTAAAATAATACCACGATAAGAGGAAATATGATCCAGAAACACAGCTGACTTCTTTGAGTTTAAAGGGATATTCTGGTGTCAAATTAATTTAGGGGACAAACACATCGTAACACCCAGTTAGACCTCAACCAAAACGCCACTCTATAGCCATAAATAATGTTCTTCCTTGAGCTGCGTCACCCCGCTGTAGTCCGTAATGGACTGTCCTGAGGTCTCACTACAAACAAACAGCTGCTGGAAGAGAGTAGGTGAGTTGTGTTTTGTCTCTTTGCTAAAGAAATTAGTCAAAGTTAAAAAGTTTGGTGGCTAGTACTATGACTAGGACCCTACATGTCCTGTTGATGAAGTTAGGTGCTGTTCTGAGCATTATTTGTGGCTATAGAGTGGCGTTTTGGTTGAGGTTTGTTTATGGCTCCTCAGACCGCTGTGTATTACTATCCTGCGGTTGTTACTAAAGTTGGTATAACTAGAGAAGCAAGCAGTCAACAACATTCATCTCTCAACGGGGTGTCTAACTTGGTGTTACAGTGTGTTTGACCCTAAATTAATTTTACGCCGGATTATCCCTTTAAGCCTATTGTGGATGGCAACTATACTGCAGGCAAATGAATCAAAATTGACTTTCTTTGTAGAAGTCATGGACGCCTCATCCTCGGCACTACACTGAAAAGGGACAATCTGGTTTATTATCAGAGCGAAGTTCAAAAAACAAGCATTCCTGATTTGACACATTTGGGAAGGTGATATCAATATTAAAAGAATTGAACAGATGTTGGAACAACACGCTACCATCAAGAAGATGCCTTTTTTCTTTAGGGGAGGCCTTGAAAATTGCTGCTAGACAACGCCAAACCATATTCAGCACCTTTTACAACTGTGGGCTCTGTAGTAGAAGAGTCCAGGTGGTAAACTGGCCAACCAGTAATCCTGTTTATTACCCACTGAAAACATTCTTAAACAGCCTCAACCCTAGATCAGGACCTCGTGTGTCTGGGCTGTCAAAGCGGATGGGGGCCCTTAAAGCACCTTTTAACTTTAATGACAAAAAGTGCTTTACATAATCAGAGGATTAATAAAGGAAGTAAAAAACTATGTAACCGCACCTCGTCCTACAATCAGTGCACACGGAAAAAAGTTGTTGAAATAAAAGGTATGATTAAGTGACATACTGGGAAAACACAGTTATGAAATCTTGATAAGGAAACAAATGGTAAAATAAAGTGCATGGATAATACCTAAAGCCGTATTAATGTGATACTGGAGATGCTAAAGTGAGGGAAAGATCCTCCTCCTGCACTCGTGCTGCAGAGAAATATTCCCAGCTGTGGTGAAAATACACTTGACCTCTTTGCTGCTGCACCAGTTTCAGTCTGTGGTTAAACTGGGCAGCTGTGACCGCGGCCTCCTGCCAGCGCTCATGACCATTAAACCAGCGGGAAACTAATACTAAACCAGAAGGAAATTTGGCGGTCAAACAACATGTAACTCACTTCCTTGTTCTGACTCTTTGGCTCTGTTTTATGGTGGAATTTCTGGACTTTGAAAGAGCTGGGATTTTACATAATTTCCTGCTCGGGTGGCGCCCTTGCCAAAGAGAGCAAATGACTTGAACAGATCAGATCCTTGTTTTCTAGATTTTGAGGTCATGCCTCTGAATACTGCAGCGTTCAGATGTTCTACTTCAAAGCTGATTTTGCGTGATGCATTTCCAAATCACGTCATTTCACCTCAGCAAAGTTGACTTCTGTACAGGCTGAGTAAAACTTCCTGTTTCACTTCTGCGTCTCTCTGTTGGAGCACTTAGCCTGTTACAAGCTGCAACTATGATGTTTTTACTCTCACCAGTTTTCCTGACATTGTGAAAATCGAAAAGAGTTGTGAGTCACTGGTCATGATGAAACCAGAGTGAAATGTGGCCTGAACTTCCAGATCCTTAGAGAGGAATAAAAACAGGATTGTAAAAGCTGCAATTGGTTGAAAAAAATCTCCTAATCTCCTAAAACATGTCAAATATCCTTATTTGGAAACCATTTCAGTCCTGGTTCATGCAGGGTTTAGTGGGCTTACTGGAAATATTCATCAGCCAACTCTAAATTCCTTCATTTCCATTGAATCAATATCTGTTAATTATTGGCCTTAGTTGCGTGCTGGTTGGCCATGAAGTTAGGGTGCCTGATCCAATGAACAGAGCTTGATTTCTTTTACATAAAGGCTTCAAGTTTCACTCCCAACCATGTCCTCCAACACCCTATTCGCCATATTCCTCTTCTGTCTTTGGCGTTTCTGTTGAATTGGGGCAAAAATTCAAGAAAAATATTTGTTAAAATAAATAAATTTTACTATTATGTTTTTAACGTGGATGTGAAATTGAAAAACGGATCATCTTAAACTTCAGTTATATTCAGTTTTTCACCATATTGTGATTTTTTTCAAAACAACAATGCTGCCCATGAAGAGGAGGTCATCAGTCAATTCATCTTAGAGACAAAGTATATAAATTTTTTATGTTTTTAAAAAAATGCAAAGTTAAAGTGTTGGATGTCAGTGATAGAAATGAGCAAAGTTGTTAATTGTAATGTTAATGTGTGTTTAAATAATCTCCAAATGAGACTACAGGGGGCTCTTATTGGCCACGTGAGAATCTGATGATATCAAGACGAGATTTTCTCAAACTGTAACATCACTTCACAGCGACTCTCCTTAAAATTTTATCTCATGGCAACAGTGGAGGAGGCCTCCAGAACAAAGAATTCTGGGGCTTAAAGAGACAGTGGCTTAAATGAAGCGTCTAAGACAGAGGCTTAAATAAGGATTTTTATCAAGACGCACAGGGTTAAAGAAAGAACAAGATAAGGATTTAATTAAAAGAACTAAATGAAAAAACAACAAACAGAGAAAAATCCAAAATCACAGGGAGCAACAGGAGACACAGGAATACGCAAACATCGACAAACAATGAACCAACCAGGACAGAGGGGAAGACATGGACTATATACACACTGGGAAACGAGCAACAGGTGAGGCAAACGAGGCACAGGTGAAACTCATGAGTGATTAACGAAGGAGGGAAAACTAGGGAAGTAAAATCAGACTAGAAACACGAGGAAATAAACTACTACAAAGTAAAATAGGGAAACTCTGAAAAGAATAAAAACACAGAGAACAGGAGGGAAACGAGGTCACACACAAACTGAAAACTCACAAGACTGGATCAAAGGAACGATAGGGAACAGAAACAACTTTATCGCATGGCAACAGTGGAGGAGGCTTCCAGAACACTGGATTCTGGGCCTTAAAGGGACGGTGGCTTAAATGAAGCGTCTAAGAAAGAGGCTAAAATCAGGATTTTCAAAGACAGCAGCTGGAAATTTGTGAATATGTTGAAGTGTAAATCTTGTAAAGCTACTAAGAAGTGATCAGAGGGACGATTTAAAGACAAAACCTGCTCACAATCCCCCCTCTTCATTTAGTAAAGCTCCAATTTGGAGAAATGTTTTAACGTGAAGAAGATAAAACTGAGTCGTATTGCAAAAATCGGTGCAACAATGAAGGCATACCGGGTTTACCCAGGTCAGTTAGCTTTCCTGAGAAAGGGGAAGGATCCGAACCCCTCCTCTTTGGTAAGATGGATCATGGACCACTTAAGCAAGAGCATACAGCCTTTTTAGATTTCAGGGTTATCTTAGATTATAAGGTTATCTGTGTATCTTTATATAAAATAAACCTTTATGAAAACCTTCTGTTTGGGTTTAGCCCTTGATGGTCAACCCTCGACGACACGTCATTAACGCAGGGATGTTGTCATCAATAGATGATGCCACAGTGGTTAAGTTGACCTCAATATGACGTCTCTGGTTTGACCATGTTTAACAAATTTGGAGTGGAAAATCTTCCCCCTCAAAACCTCAAGATTTCCACTTTAACTTCTGTTGAATTTAATCTGTGTTTTATAGGAATGGAAATTTTGGGAATCAGATCAGAGTATGAGCAGGTTCAATAAGTCACCCCCTTACTCACTCTGAGCAGGAGTGCCAGCAATTAAAAGGTAATGAGAGCATCTTTACATTACTCACTGTATTAGTTTAGCTGATGTAAAAGTTGCACCGTCAGTGAGTTTGAGCTGGATCTGAACAGTGACGCAGCAGTTTTACAGGTTTCCAAGAAGCTGCGAGTTTCCTGCTTCTTGAGAAATGTCAAATTTGAGTCCCACCCACCAGGATACAGAAACCCATGTCCTGATTTCTAATGTACTATCTCTGCAAAACCTCTCTCTCTCTCTCTTTAATGTGCATGTTTCTGTCATCAGATCAGCTTTGAACCAGTGAAAGTGATGCACGGAAACAAGAGGAAACACGTCATAACGGTTGCATTGCTGACTCGCCAGGCCTCCTTTTGTCATCAAACAGCCCCATATGGGGTAATAGACGGACTCTGAGTCTGATAGGAGGGGCTGAGCAGGGGGCTCGTCCTCAATAGTGGTTTTCACAGACCCACGAATCATTTCCCCAACCGCCCACGCCCGGATATCTTCTACTTTTGATCTTTTTTTCTGCCTCTCTTTATTTTTCTGACCTCTGCTGAATGGAGGAATGCAAGGAATGCGGCGGTGAATGGGCGAGCGGGGGAGGCAGCATGCAAATGACTGACAGACTGATGCAGAGTTTATTTTCTGCTTGGACAGAAGGTTTTAAAAAAGCAGCTAAAGGGAAAATGTATTACTGACAATAACAGAGCTCAGGGGAATAAAATACAGCAGAAATAATCCACGCCAGCGACCGCTCTGAAGCTCTCCACAAAGGCATGAAAAGACACGTTTTGGCACTTGGACAAGGATCGACTATTTTTAGGGATCAAACGCTTCTCAGCACACAGAGAACACAAACTGCCGCCAATTTAAACCATCACATTAAGCAGGAATTCGGCGTGACAGCCAGACAACGGCCACATCTCCCCATAGACGCTAACCCAACTGTGAAATCAAAGCTGCGATTGAAGTAGCCGGCGCGTCGTCGCTTCCACTGGAATTCCTGAAGACGTGGGAGGTTGAAGTTCAGTCTGAGACCCCGACATGTCGCTGATCTCATCCTGGCTGCAGTTGTAGGAGGTCTATTTCATCATGCAGTATATGGACAGTAATGTTAGGCAGCTGTTGCTTTTTCCAGTGCAAACAGAAGTATGTCATTTTTTCCCACACACATCTCATTGCTTAAAATTTAGTTCATCTGTGGTCAGGGGTGTTGTCAGGAAATTCGGGCCCCATGCATGGAAAAGGAAAATATGTTAGACCCCATTACTTCACCATAGCAAATGTTCTCGTGTTTATTTAGAGACCCTGTCAGTCAGAGGACTTCACACAGAGAGCCCCATGTCTGTGGTCCCTTACCTCTGTAATTATAAAGGTTTACAGTCCCGGACACACATCTGGTGGTCAACCCTGAAGCCACTTCAGAGTTATTTGTCCCAGATGCAGGTGTATAGGAAAAATAACTTTGCTCATGCAGTTCCTCAAGTGTCCACTAGAGGTTGGCTGCAGAAGCACCAGAAACCACACACACACTAAGCCAAAAAATCTGTTTTTTGAAGCAAAAATAAACACGTATACAGCCTGGTTCATAAAACTGTTTTGGTGTGATTAGCTCAGCACGTACGGTATGAGGACTGATTTTTTTTAAGTTATTCAGGATACAAGAGCGGCACAGATGACTGGACCGGCAGGCAGGGCAGACTATAGCCATTTGTTAGGATGCTAACGGGCAATTTCCACCGCATCCAGAACGGCTACAAAAAGGCCGTATCCACCGATCGTAGCTGATCGTAACCATTCAAGTTAATGTGTCAATTTCCACCGGCTTCTTTCCGTTCCGCTAGAGTACCGTTTCTAGAGTCTAGAAGAGTGACAATATTTACAGAAAAGACATTATGAAGATTTTTTATTGATAAACAACATTTTTAATTTACAGCCATTTTAGTCGGGATTTAAAACTCTAAGGAGGAGGTCGACAAAATAATAACACAAAGACAGAAAATGCAGACATGGTTAGGGAGGCAAAGAAGACAAAGACCAACATAAAATAAAGTTTATCTAGAGTCAAAACTCCTCGTCAAATCTTTAACTGCCTTTGGATCCGCTTTTCAATTCTTCCAAGTTTTCGTATTCAGACGCATCAGAAGTAACCTTCACTTTAGGCTGCCACTGAAAATTAAAGAAACAACAGAAATAAACACATTTCACATCCAATCACAGAATTGTATTGTCACGTTAACACACATTTAGCACTATTACCTGGTTTGTACGTGCATATAAAAGGCTGTTTAACGACTTTTGTGCTTTAAAAACTTATGAGAACTCACACAGTAGAAAACTGTGTGTGCAGAAACCTTTTATAATCGTGACAGTGATGAGGTTTCAGATTCTGGGCGTATGAATGAAATGTTTGAAGATACCTGGATGTGATCGTAGTCAGCAGACATGCTGCTGGTCTTCAGGTCTGTGTACGGGTTTTCTCTCTGCTGCTCCATCTGCTGAGAGAGTTTAAAAATCAAGATATTTAATCAATCTTCACCTGAATATCTGTTCATAAATATCATCCTTTATGCTTTCAGTGTAACGTGATCAAACTGAGGATGGAGGCTTCTGAATTGCATCATTTTCATGTTTTGTTTTTGTCCAGTAAGGATCACACAATAAAGGTTGAATCTGACTCAGAAATTGCTACAAAAAAGTTGGATTCAAAGATACTGAGCTCTTCTGGATTTGTCTCATAAAACCTGGTTCTAAGTCTCAGGAGACTCTCACTGAAAAGGATGAATGACTTCTTACACGTTTCATGATTAGTCATCGCAGCTTTCGCCTTCAGTCAACCAGAGAGGATGTTAGAGAGACGAGACTGTGACTACACCATGACAGACTGAGGGTGTCAAACCTCTTATCAGATCGACTGTATTAGGGTGAATTTTTCTCCGTATCCTTCCCCTAGTCTGTTAATGTCTGTCTTTAAGATAATGAATGTTCTCTTACCTTCAGCCTCCTGGAAAGACTGAAAAGAAAACAAAGAAAGGAGGAATTTTACGAGATCGAACAAAAGAACACCTCACGGTTAGATAATTACTGCCCCACAAAGTTTGGACACTGTATACCGGAAAATTACTTCAACTCTGTAACTAAAAGTCAGGATGTAGGCGTGCACATGGACCCTTCTACTACAGAGCCACACTGTTTTAACACATGCAGAACGGGAGTTCATGTTCTGAGTTGTCCATCCGAGGTCTTTCTTTATTAGGGCGGCAGCATATGTTACTCCAAACCGTGTCTATACTGTTCAGGATTAATCAAGACTTCACAGAATGCCATGAGTCATATAGTCCCACCCTTCTTTGAAACTGAGGATGTGGTGTCCAACACTACCAAGAAAAATGTCAATTTATGATTTGTGGAACCACAAAGTCCCAGGGAAGTTTATAATGTTTCCCTTTCATTTCTAGATAAGGTTTTCAGTTTGCATGTTCCAATTTTAACCTGCGTTCAAACCCCTGAAGTCGTTGCATAATTCTGAACTTGTTGACCTCTTTGCTGATACAGTGGTTAACGTTTTTTACAGCTCCACCTCTCACAGACTCGGCCCATTTGCAGTCCTTTTATACCCTGTTGCAATTCAACCTTCGACCTAAATTGGCAAATATTCTCATTTTTAAAATCGAAAGGTTGTCTTTGCGTTAAATACAGATCACTCTCTCAGATCTCATTCTTTTAGCCTCACCTTTTGTACTTGTGTACCCCCACAGCAACAACCAGGATGAAAAGACCCAACAGTCCTCCACATATGATGTAGGGACCAACCAGAGCGTAATGACCACTGTCTGAAAACAGAATCGAACATGACTCGATACAAACAGCAGATTATTCCACAGCTAATAAAAAATAAACAGCGCCGGATTAACATTTTGCCAATTAGTTTGTGGTCCCAATTGGTAGTTTGAGTACTGCAGTCAGCCAGCAGGGGGAGCGCCAAAAGTTTCAGCTCCACATCCAGAAGCTGATGTGGTGTCTTTGGTTTATTTAGTAATAAAAGACAAATTGCAAGACACTTAAGAATAGTCCTTAAATTGTAATGTAGGATTGTTGTCTTTGGCGAGGAGTCATGAAGTTTTGTCACTGGTAATCAAGTTGAAAAGGGTCCGTTCATATAATCAATATTATCCTTAAATTAAAATGTCCAGCTATGCTTGCCCCCTCCTACCCGGGAATTCCACTGGATCCATAACGGCACCGCTCCACCGCGGATCGGCAGGCAGATCAAATACGCAAGCATATAGCCAGTTTCGATCCGCCGCCGCCATCGGAAGAGAAGCTCTCGCAATATTACCGATAGTTCCCGCGAGACTGGACAAGATTTCTTGAAATCTTGTGTGTTTCCCTGTGAGACATGCTGTGTTTACACAAAAACGCAATGTGGTTGAAAACGCTGTAATGTGCATGCCAGGTCGCTAGGTGGCGCGTGTTGGTGTGACCGCGCTCTCATATAGACCAACAACACATACGTAGAACAACTTCCATTCTACTTCCTAGAAGCATTAATTATTTGATGCAAATAATACAGACGCCTCCTCTGCTGAGCAGGATGATCCGTGAGGATTCTGTACAGGTCGAAATTGAGCTCCTGCCCGTTCAATAATAACGACAGCACGACTCGAATGTCTAGCACGGTTGTTGTTGTTATTTTCAAGGAAGCTGCGCATGGCTATGATGTCATAAGCGTGAGCCGACGTGAGCCACGACGTCACAGATTTGACTGTTTTGAGCGTTTTTGTACTTGAAACGAAAGCGGGACTAGCAGAGCGTTTACAACATTTCCACCCTGGAGGGGGTTTTCACTTTGTTACGTTTTCATCTCCTGAAAACACAGTTGCCGTCTAAACGGACCCCCCTAAACGAAACTAAATTTTTCTGTTTTCTATGGAGACCATTTCTGTCTAAAAGTGGCCTTACTCAAGGATCGACCTACTTAGAGAGACTGTTATACTAGCCAAGGGCAACAAAGCATTAGCACTCACGGTTTTACTTCCAGCACTTTATATATTTGTTGATTGTTGAGGTTGGGAGGGTTCCTGGTATTAGATATGACTCAATCTAGATTTCTAGAGTTGGTTTTAGGAGGAAAACCAACATTTTGAAGGTCTCTGTTCCCAACATGCCACATTAAGTAGATAAACACAGTGACTCTGGTTATCTACTGTGCATCTGTGTGGGATGTGAACTTTACTAAAAACTTTCCCTTGTTTATATTCAGTTGTTATTTTCCTGCCTCATCAGCTGGTGAATCATCATCATCATTACCATCTTCATCATCAGACCATGTAGATCTGAACTACTTATGCTGTCACTGTTTGCTGATTCATCATTGATCTGTTTCTGAATCATGAGTCCAGACCTGCAAAACACTTCCAGAGAAGAGTGAAGGCTAGAGTGTTACAGCAGTGCTAGGAAGAAAAACAACAATAACAAATGAACCGTGTTTGTGTTATGAGCGAAGGTTTACCTGTAGTGAGGGTGATCACCTGTAGAGACACAGGAGTGGACCTCTGAGAGCCCCTCTGAGTCCGAGCTTCACACAGATACAGCCCGCTGTCATTGTGTCTGACCTGAAGGATCAGCATTTCTCCCTCAGCTCTCTTAGTCAGCTGTGAGGAGAAGGGATGAGGTATGATCAACTACAAGTAGAACACACTTTAATATGAAGCACAATGATAGATCAAGGACTGGTTTATTTAAGTTATGACTTTTCAGCGTTCTTGTTAGAAAACTACAACAACCAAAAAACATAACCTTAGAGCTTAACTGATTTGTTTGTAGGGAAACAGTCTGAATGTTTACATGCCGAGTCAAACTGTGGTTAAAGCTCCAATAGGCGATTTCACTAATCTTTGTTTTTGTCCGTCAACAAGAATTAATTTATTGGCAAAAGTATGTCCGACTGCGTTACTGCCGGTGACGATAAGCTCCTTTAAGATCATGTCTATGGGGCCGCCCTCCTGTCGGCCTATTATGTGTATCGCATGCCAAAACAATCGACAAACATGTTAGCAAGAGGCTAATAGGCTACAACGTAGGATACACCCACTGAGCAATAGACGGCTATTAGACGTCTAGTTTATTTTTAACGGAATTTAGATGTTGAACTTTAACCCATTTTTCGATAACTATTTAAAAAAGCAACTGTGAGTTGGATAACTAGCCATTGAGCAACATACAGTTAGACCTCTGTTAGCCGGCTAGTCTAAACTTGGTCTAAATTTAGACATCTGAAAACTTTTCAGTGGTAGCCTGATTTTAGACCAGTCTTCTCGGCTACATTTAGGCGTCTATTAGACCTCTTTTAGACCAAAAAATGCTCAGTGGGCAGCAGCTTTATGCCTTTTTATGTTCATTTGTCTTTTTCCAGTGAGGTTTTGTTTGTTTTCTAGCTTCCTACGACACTTTTCTGTTGTCGAACTTCCTGGGTAAAGCCGAGAAATCAGATGTAGAGCTACATCAGTCAGACTCAGTCCAGTTTTAGTCAGACCAGTGCAGTAAAAACATGTTTTGAAAAGCATTTAAACACCTGACCTACCCGTCCTCCATTGTCTTTGTACCAGGTGAAAAGGCGAACAGGGGGGTTAGCATCACTGGAGCACATAAGGGCCACAGTACTGCCTTCAGAGACCGGACTGGACATGCTGAGGGCCGCCACAGTGGACCGAGGAGCATCTGATTAGAGGCAGACACTTTTATTTAATCATAGTCAGTTAGTATATAAAAAGGAATTGATGGACTTAACGATGTAAACAACTTAATACATATCATTAGCAACATTGCTGATTCTTGTAGCTCTCTGTTGGCATGGTAACACCTTATTTGGAGTATCGCCTCAACCAGAATATGGACCTAAACCAGAATTTGAATGTAACCACAGGGACAAGAGGATTTAAAACACACGACGCCAAGTAAATGAAGGCCTGAGCATCCACACTTTGTCATTTTGGTAGTTTAGAGGCGCATAGTCTAAACTTTTGGTGAAGAATAGGTCACAAAAAGGTCCAATTAATGCTGCGTTATAGTTACCTCGGAGGTCGGATGTCAGAGCTAGGAATGACGTTACACCCGAGTTGACGGCCATCCAGTAAACAAAACAGAAAACCAAGGTGGACGCCTACTGTTACCCGTTGTTATCAAATTGATCTTAAAGCATATCGTGGGCATGTCAGGTGCACCTGCAGTCAGATCTGTTGTTTCCATTTACTGTCAGCGGTGGACGAAGCCCTTGAAATTTAATATACCAGACTTGGAAAGCATCCCAGGAATGTATTTGATGCTTCAGAGGGGAAAAACAGTTTTCGGAGGAAGAAGGAACAAAATACTGAAGAAGTCTGTGGATCTTCTTTCACTGCTTTTCTCAGGTAAAAGAAGACATACGCACTGTGGATTGTAGTTACCCTTACCACCAGAAGGGGGCGACAGAAGCAGCACTGTGCAGGTTTAAAATGGGCCTAACATACATATCATCTCAAAACAGTTATATCTCAAATGTTACGTTCTTCATATGTCAAACTTTTTACTTCTCAGGCTTTTATAAGCTTTTGCACTCGAACTGAACTCAGACTTGTAGCTGCAGGACTTTCCTTCATTACATTTCTAGACCTCTGTTTAGTCTCCCACTCAAACCGATCTTCACCTGCACTACAACAAAGACTGCGTTATGCGTGCAGCCGTACACATAACTGCGGGGCTTCATTACTTCCGTTCACACCAAGTCAAGACAAGTTCAGCCCCTCAAACACTCACAGGTTTGTTAAACGCTTCTGTCTGTTTAGAGAAAGAAAAAGTCCCCTGAAGACAGTCATTCAGAGTCGTGTTGAGACAAGCCCTCTGTGTTTCGTAATCCACTTTCATCAGGGTGATGGATCGTAAGTCGGTGTCATTGTGGTTTTTTTTATAGACGGGGGAGTAAAACAGTTAATCACTCATTAATATCTGAGTGTAAATCATTAGAGAGACAAAGATTTATTCAGCTCTGTTCGTGTTTTTAGACTTATTTATCAGCACACTTCTAATGATGAAACACTGGAGTTATCACTAACAAAGAGGAGGTTATACTCCTGCATTTTTTGGTGGTCTAAGGTGGTTTAGTTTTCACACTTCCAGACACACACACACACACAGTCAGTGACTCACACAGGATATTGAGTCTCTGGGTGGTTGCAGACGGCTTGGTGCTGCCCCCTTTTGTCAGCGGGTAGGAAACAAGACAGGCGACGCCTCTGTTGTGATGATCAGCTGAGGCGAAGAAGGTCAACGTGGAGGTCATGAATGTCAGCCCGTCGGATTTCTATTTTTTCAAAAGAGAAAGAAAAAAAAAAAACATCAGAGTTACAAAGTGAATCAGGCTGCTTTTTATTCTGAATTTAAACGAGAAATGTGTCGAATCGTGGAAGGAGAAAGACGGAGACAAGAAAATAGTCAAATTAAACTTAAAAACATCTAATTTAAAAAAAGACGTGTTTCACAAAATGATCTAATTTGAAGTTCGTTTATTTATTATATTTTAAATCAGCTTACTAATGGCTAAAGCTTCAAAATAATAATCATAAAAAAGACCCAAATGCAGAGCAGAGGATTTAATCAAAAAGAACCAAATGAAAAAAACAACAAAAATTTTTCTTGAAAATGTCCAACCAAAAAATTCAAAAATCCAACAAAAGACACTGAGGAAAGAAATCACAGAAAGCAACTGGGGACACAGGCAAATATGCACACATCGACATACAATGAACCAGAGGGGAAGACAGAGACTATATACACACTGGGAAACGAGCAACAGGTGAGGCAAACGAGACACAGGTGAAACTCATGAGTGATTAACGAAGGAGGGAAAACTAGGGAAGTAAAACCAGACTAGAAACACGAGGAATCAACTACTGCAAAATAAAACAGGAAACACTGAAAACTGATCTAAAGACTGTTTCAAAACTGTAACAACTCTTTCAGAAAAACAAGCAGTTTTTTTTCTTCTTTTTTTAACCGAATAATTATCTTTTATTTCAGATTATTATCAGGTAATTGAAGCAAAGCATTTTAATCTTTACAATTTTCTTATTATTCTGAAATTAGGCAAAAACAGCTGAGTCCAACAAACTTCGGCAGTTTCTTTAGATTCATCTAGAGCTGTTTCAACACTTAAAGACACACTGTGTGAGTGCGAAGAAGTGTGTTAAGTATCCTTAAAGACCCACTCTGATAAGGATCATGTTTTTCTTGTTGTCTTCATGTTCATGTGGCATTTTTCTGATGCTACAGGACATATCATGAGAAAAATAAGTGCAAAATTGCATTTCTGAGTCTTTCTGCATTCAAATTGCTGTGAATCTCTGGCAGACCCAAACAGCAGGTTCAGATTCAGTGAGATTTCCTATGTCACAAATCCAGGCTCCGCCCCCAGAGCCCTGTAATGCAAGCCAGTCTCTGAGAAAGTGGATTGCAATGCTTGTAAGAAAGTAAATTATGATATTAACTTTCATCATATCCCTAAAGACATTAGTGTCCGAGAGCAGAATGGCTCCAATGTGACCTGCCACTTCTACTACACCGACAATGTTAGGCTGCAAGCTAGCGTGACGAGGAGTGTGAAGAGCAGCGCTGTCTCCGCCCACGACTCAGAGGCATCATGATTTAAAGACCACTGAGAACACTTTTAGTCGTAAATGAAAACAATCAAGTTGGGACTTTAAAGCGTTATCACACCACCAAGAACTGAATTAGTGTTTCCCTCACCTGTTGCAGTTGGGTCTCCTCCTGCAAGGTGAGGTTTTGGGGCAGCCAGGTGAGGGAGGGGGGCAGGGTGGAGCAGGGCACCGGCACTGAACATTGCAGAGTCACTACATGTCCCTCTGACACCGGCTCCACAGGGGTCAGCTTAGGGGGAGACGGGACTGAACAGGAAGACACAGTTGATGGTTTGTTAGCATAGTTAGCAGGACAGCATTTTCCTAATATCGGGAAGATTCTGGTGTATCCAGAGAGAACTGTCTGTTTGGAGATTTCTCTACCTGTCTGAACGCTAATGTTAACTCCTTCATGGAACGAGTACAGGATGGTCTCGGGACATTCCAGTCTGAAGAAGTACAAGTCGCCGTAGTTCTTCGGGAGGCTAAGGAACATGGTGGTGCAGTTCTTCTGTTTTAAGTCCCCAATGAAACGTCCCTGAACAAAAAAAAACAACTTTGGTGGAGAGAACATGTCTTCAATCGTATCTTCAGGTTACAACAATTGGAAATTGTTATAAAAAATATCTTTAAAACATCTGCGCCTGGAGTGTTGCCTCAAAGGTCACAGTAAAAAACTGATCCTCTTCACTTTTGGGTGATTCAACTTTTTAACCTGAGAACACCAAACATGTTTTCATGATTTTCATTATGTTGCGTTTGTCTGAGCATCATGGGTCCTTAGGTAGCTTCAGCATCACCTTTGACATCTCTGAAGGCGTATTTGTTTCCCTGATCCAAAACCTGATTTTTCCTACACGTGTTTGGGTGATAATGATAGAGGGTAAAGTAGGTTTGGGTGAATTTGATAGCTTCATGTGGGCGAATAAGGTGAGTAAGAGTTGTCCTGGAATTTGCATGCTATCTTTAGTGCAGTGATTATGAGTAAAGGTCCTTTCACACCGGGACTGTTTTTGTTGTGCGATATCCTGTCAATACAAGCGTTCACATCAGCGACGTTTTCCCGGCCTGCGATATTGCGGCATTTATTTTTTCGGATCATAGTCGATTTTTCTAAAGTTTCGCAAACTGTATGTCCACTTCTGACCAATCAGATTGCGTGTTGTTGCGACGTCTGATTCACCGGTATATCCAACATGGCCGACCGGCTGATTGTTTACGTGTCGGAGAACTTTCATCTGTGCTAACGTAAGCTAACAGTTGTTACCATAGTTTGATGTGCTTGTCTGGAACTGGCCCCGACTCACTACATGCTATCATGACAGAAAGCCATCACAACACTAGAGTCTAATCAGAAGTGTAGAACACTGTAGGATGGTGATTGGCTATAAGTGCTGACCGTTTGGCTTGAGCGTGTGACGACGGTTCCAGCTTTTCTAGCCAGGGAAAGTTTTGGGATGCGTCTTTACCCCACCCGTAAAGTCGCAAAATTGTATCGTGCTTGATGTGTATAGTCAAGTCGTGATTTTCAAGGAATTCATATGGCGATAAGAAAAATTTCAGTCATCTGGTCATTTTTACTCAAAATCAGCCATATTTCGTTTCTCTCTCCTGCGGCTGTTATTGTGCCAAGGACCCTGAGTCTTCACCAGGGAAGATTCACATGACCCAGGAATGGGTGGGAAAGAAACTAAGTTTACATTTTTTAAATATATTTATTATTTTAGGAATTTTTTCTTCATAAATGCCTAATTTCAGTTATTTTGTTGCATTTTTATATGGTCCCCTAATGGCACTTTTTCCTCCCTTTGGACATTGCACCGTTAAAAACAAAAGAAAAGTACTTTAATTTGTCATGTATAGCTCTATTTTGATGTATTTTGATGATAAGTACTTTTTCTCGGGTGTATTATTTTGTGTAAAAATCACAGTGATGGTGTTACTAATTTTAGGGTTAAGAGAAGACGTACCTGAATCTTGTTGTGGGTAGGATTGGACCCGTTGAAGACAGGGGTACCGTCTTTGTTTCCTCTCCTCCAAACAGCTCCGCCAGAGCAGTTTTTGATGGGCTGTTCAAAAGAACCAGGAACTCTAAAACCGCATGGGATGGTGAGACAGGACTCAGCGATACCCACAATGCTTTGAGGCAGCCACGCACTCCAGCTTTGGCAGGAGACACCTGAAACGTCAAAACGCAAATGCAGACTCAGAGGGAAGCTGTGATCTAACTGTTTGTTCGCCATCATGAAGTACTTCCACATCACGATCCACTGACCTTGCATCATTGACACGAGCAGAAAAACCACCAGGCCAGCGCCCATGATTGATGATTTAAACGCCAGGATCCACCTTTTGACATTTAAACCAGAAATGAAACCGAAATTAAAGAGTAAAAGAAAGATTTAAGTGCAAAACTGAATCATTTTCTCTGTGTGAAAAAGTTAATCTGATGCTAAAAATCACAAACCATTCAGTCAGGAAAGAGTTAAAGAGAGAAACAAACAACCCGATATATAACTTGATGTTATAAAATCATTTAACCACATTAATGTCAGAATATTAACCCTCAACTAAGAGAGAAAAGAAACATTCAGACATAGATTTCTGCTCTTTTCTTTAGGAGGTAAATCACCTGATTTTTTAAGTTTGGTAAAGATTTATGAATGAAGAAAAACACGCTAAAACAAAAACAGTTCTCCTGAATATTAAACCACAGAAAGACACAGATTAATAAACTGAATCTTTACCTGATGTTGATCTCAAACAGATCTCTTGGTGTTTGTGCGTTCACTCAGTAAGGAGGAATAAAAGCTGAAAGGAGGAACTTGTGGGTAGGTCACATTTGAACAATCAAAAGATTAAAAAAATTCTCACTTTGCAACACTGGTTGGTAAACTTTCCTCTTTTACAAAACTTCAGCTGAAGGTGAGAGAAAAACTGTGTGTGAAGTGTTAAAAATAAAAACAAGAAGTGGCTGTTTTATGAGGAGTCATATTTGCACAGTTGCAGCAGACGACTAATGCACTGGACAAGAGCTGAGAAGAAGAGAGTTGTAAATTGTTTTTTTTAAATATGATAAAAAGCAATAAAACAAATGCTGTCTAATACTGGGTCAAAAGCCAAGGGATAGAAGTGGGTTTTTAGGCGGGTTTTGAAAATGGACAGTGAGGGAGTTGGTCTAATGTAGAGAGGTAGGTCATTCCACAACGTAGGAGCAGCAACAGAAGCATAGGGCGTAGGGGTGCAGCAGCTCATAGAGGTATGATGGGGCCAGACCATTTAAGGTTTTAAAAACAAACAAAAGAATCTTAAAATGAAAACAGAGTAAAGTGAAAGTAAAGACAGAGATATCGAGGCGTGCAGGTGAGCGAATCCTGCAGAGGCAGAGGCCCAAGCCTCAATGGGGCTCTAAGCAGAATTTGATTTTGGGGCCCTCTATTTCTGCGAATAATATTGATTGTTGATCATTCACACACCTTCACAAATCTCTTTGATTAACATTCCATGACATGCAAACATACCTTTATGTTGGTGTTTTTTCTCTTCTTCCTCTTTCTTTTCTCGGCTCCTGAAGGAGATCTCCTTTTTTGTGACATTGTTTTGTCCCCCGACTACCTGCTCTTTGGATGCTCAGTGCACATTACACAGCAGAGGGCACATAATGGTAGCGGGGCTTTAGCATATTTGCAGTAAGAATCATAGGCCTGAATTAGCAGCAGTACTAAAATGTTTTTACTTTATATATCATTTTTATCTTTTTTTTGGATTTCTCTCAGGGGCCCTCTACTGGTGCTTAGTTTGCTTATGCCTTTGGCTGCAGCTCACCAGGACCAGAACCTCTCCCACCAGACCAGATTCTTCTTTTTTGCCTCAAACCAAATAAATAATTCACTGACTGATTCCCAAGAAACACAAACCTGCATTAAGATACGCTTAAAATCACAAACTGGACTTTGATTTAGCCCCAAAACACCAAGACATATTCCTCAGCTGTGACCCTGATTGCAACCTCAATGAGTTTGTGCAGTAACTCATATATATATCCACTAGAGGGCAGCATAAATGAGAGGATCCAATACAAACACAGGCAGCTGACGCCAAACACATGTGTGCCTGTTTAAACCACCAGAGGGCGCCACAAGGCGCAGCACTGATAGTTGGAGAAACATTTTGAAGCTGCAAAGATAATCTCTTTTCCCATTATATTGTCATTTTTTGTGCCAAAATGTTGTCTTTATAGAAAAACTTATACATTATAATAAGATAAATATGTGTGTACTGTATTGACCCAAATATATCTCCAACTTTATGACCAAAACTTACTGTATATGCTTATTTTAAGCACTTCTGATTCTACACCTTATATACATTCTCCATTATACATCATTACTGTGGATGCCCCCCCTTTATCCTCACTTCTGTAAATGTGAACCCCCCTGATTTTATTTCTAAAGAGGGAGAGACATAAATCAGGATCATAATAAAATGCAGATGTCGTTCTCGGGAGACTCCCCTCTGCCTGGTATTTCCGACCTGACCTTTTGCGACATCAGGAGGTCGTGAGCTACTAGTGACCCTGTGGGCTGAGGACAGGACGAAAGAGACAGAAGTGACAACAGATAGTGATATTTTTCCGAGGCAGGGGACAGAAAAAAGAAATAAAATAAACTGAATTAAAGATTTCAGAAAACTTTCTGCTGGGTGAGTTTCAGACGATCATCAGGCTTTAATGAGCGTTTTGATCAAATTGATCAGCTGCAGAAGACGGAGATGTCCTGCTTTTTTTTATCATCTTTCTTTGTTTTTGCTTTCTGTTATTTGTTGCCTTTTAGATCTCCTTGTTTGTCCCAAAAGACAAGTTCCTGATGAGCCAGGCCACAAAAAAGAGGTTTTAGTGTTCCAGTGAAAATGAGTGACGTCTGCAGGAATCTTTCCCTGTAAAAACTCTTGAGCCAGTCTGTCAAGACCCCACTCCAGCAGCTTATTTTAAGAAGTTTGAGAAGTTTTTCACTGTGTGTGTGTGTGTGTGTGTGTCTGTGTGTGTTTATGCATCTGTCAGAGTGTGTGATAAGTAGAGAGAGAAGCAGAGTGCGTGTGACTGTATGAGAAACAACTAGACAGGAAGACGAGGCCACACACACATGCAACATAGAAACAAGGGATGAAAAGAAAGAGGAAGAGTCCATCTGTGTGTGTGTGTGTGTGTGTGTGTGTGTGTGTGTGTATGAATGAAAGAAGACACACACACACGCAGTAACACCACTTAAAGTAACAGCGACTCAAGGGACTTTACACTCACACAAAGACACACACACACACACGTTGTTCATGAGGACGCATCTTCACTTCCTTATCTGACTGCTGAGGCTGAAGCAGCTGACCAGTGCTGTCCTATCTGCTAAACATCTGCAGGTAAGAAATATAAACTCAGCTGCATCATTTTTTTCTCTGAACACAGGGACATTTTTAAACTTCAAAATTACATTTCCAGAAATAAAAATGTCCAAATTCTCGATCCAAATGGACAACTGGACCTTGAAATTCTCAAGGAGATTTCACCTCTTGTCTGAAAAGCTTCATCATTTTTAAAGTGGCTGGTAGTATAAGCCTCTGTGGGTCATCGGTGGTTTATGGTCACCGTAAGGGCGCCCGCTGAAGTCATTTCCCAGCCTGTGGGGTCATTAACATCCCTTTCACAGGTCAGTTACTGAGTTTGTTGTTATTGCTGCCGTTGACCTCTGAAAGTATGCGGTTAAAGACACTCTGTAGCTCACTGGAGTCATTAACATCCCTCATCGTGGGAGTCGTTGGGGACTTTGGTATCAGCGCTATTGCCATAGTTTACTGCAGTCCCTATCATCCCTGATTGTAAAACAAGTCAATGAGTTTTTCATTCTAGAGACTTTGTACCTTGAAAAGTGATTTTCTTTAAGTCGTTGGAGAGTCGTTTGTTTTGTTGTTATCTAGGCTGGTGGACTATAATCCCAAAGTTGTAACACCCTTTCCTGGGGTGGTTGTTAAATTGGTCATCACTAAGGATGTTGACCTAGTTTCTTTGCGGTTGCATACATCCTCTGTTGTAGTTGTCAGGTTTCACTTTATCATTGCTGTTGGCCTGTTTCTCCAAGGGCGTTTAACCCTTTCTGACCTTGTAGGGCTGCACGATATATCGTTTGAGCATCGTCATCGCGATGTACGAGTGCACAATAGTCATGATATTGCAATATAGGAGTTCTTTACTCAGTTGCCAATCAGACTACCCTGCCAGCCGTCAATCAAAATCGGCATGGAGGAAACCACGCCTCTGCACATGACCCGCACATGAAGTGATTCGCTGGCGCTGCTGGTGTTGAGCCGAGAAATGCATGCCCGCTGAGAATTACTTTCAGAACTTTACTCATCACTGTTTAGCCCCACAAACAAGAATTGTATGGGTTTTAAATCGTACATTTCCGTGGACCACTCGACTATAAGCGGCGCACGTTTTGCGAGGTGCATGCAATTCTGGTAACAACACCGGGTATCATGGGTAAATTTTTGTGTAATTGCCAAAAAACTACTCTAATAACTGCAAATGACCAATAATTGATGTTTAACTGGGAAGTCAAAATCATTTAAAGTCACTTATTCATAACTAAAGTTTAAAGTTACATTTATGGCTTTAAGTTTTTTCAGTTTGTTTCTTAACCTCATTTACGTTAAAGTGATTGTAAATGATTTTAGCTTCAAGCTTTAGTTACCCGTCTTGAGTAACTTGAATACATTATTTTAAACAATTTATTAATTAACATTTTTTCATAAACAGTATACAACTTCAATAACAACAATAGAACTACAAATATTACCCAACCCCTCTCCCCCCAGAACAAACCCCATTGGCCAACTCTTACCTACATCCCTAAAAAAATAAAAATAAGATAATAATAGTAATGTATGAAAGAAAATGTTAATGTAAATAAATAAAGGATAAAATAAAATAATGATAAAAATAACAATAATAATAACTCAAATAATAAATAAACTGATTATTTAAACAATTAAATAAAATAAAAAAATACAGCAAAATACATGCAGCAAAGGTCAAGACATTGACAATGGAAAAGCACAGCCACTCCTGCAGATGTGCTCCAACCAACAACCACCACCACACCATTGACAGTACTCATCTAGTTATCTGTTATCTGTGAGAAGTTATCTAGATATATTTTAAAAAGTTTTTCAGAGACCATGTTTGATGCAACTTCCTTAAGCCACTTTGAGGCAGTAGGCGGATTTGAAAACATTTTACAGCTCGCAGGTTTCACTAAAAATAAGTGTGCTGTTGTAATAGTGAAACTGTTTTGAAAGTGCAAGTGTGTCATTTCAATAAGTTCTCACCATGGTGATGGTGTGTTTAAATAAGATGGACAGAATAAGGCTGCCGACACTATGGTTTTGGGTTTGTGGGTTTTTTTCAAACAAAGTGCGACTTTGAATTGAAACTGTGTCGTGGTATTTGGTTTGCAGAGTTGGGCTCCTTTAAGTTTTCTCTCTGTGGTATTCATTTCCTCTCAGTGAGTCCAGTGCAGATGCTCTCAGATTTGATCTCAGATCAAACATCTGCTTTAAATAAAAAATCCCCTCTTATAAACACAACAGTGAATCTGTCCAGACAAATTATTTGGTCGTCCCAAACTTAAATTAAAGTTTGTATAAACGGTGTAATGTGTGCTGGATATCATCTCAGAACGTGGCCTGGCCTTACATGGAATCAAGCAATGAAAATCACGTATAAATTGGGATTTTTAAACACAAAAGTACCACGAGATGTGAATTTTTGGATTTTGTAGGTCAAACTGCACCATGCTGACTCTTTTTTTCCCACCAACAGTTTTTTTTTTGCAGAAGAAGGCACAATACAGATGACACAGCTGATGTGTTTTTTTCTCACCAGCTGACCTCGACCTGACTCTGTTTTTGTACTTCCTGAGAAATCGAGTTTATTTTCGCACTGCTGCAAGACTCAATAACTGATCTGGCATGATGAGCTTAAGACAAACACATCTGACCGTTAGACTGCAGGTGTAAAAAAACAGCTAAAGCTTCGATTAAAAAGATGTTTGTTACATTTTGCACCAATGAACGGTGCTTGCGAGCTACAATCCACATTTAAACACTGAATCAGTCGCCATTCAGAAGAAGACGTCTCGTGATCAGAAAAGTTTACTCCTCAAAGACGTATTTTTCCAAGTCTTGTTGCTCTACTTTTTTCCTCCATGAATCATCAAGCAGGAAGTCTTTGTACGCTTAGCTGTGATAATTTAGGTGTTTTGGACGTTAAAGTGTTTAAGTAGCTATGAGAGAGGAAATACACGACACGACTTTTTTTTTTTTAATCCAGCATGAGTTTTATGTGTTTTGGATGTATTTACTTTCATGGATGTATGTTGCTTTCATGGAAATGCACCATTTTACTCCATTTACCTTTAGATATACATTGATGTTAACAGACCATTGCTAAATATATGTCAGCAAAAGATAATAAGGGCTTAGTTTTAGGGTTGAAAACATTTGCAAGAGTCACAACTTCAGAGCAAAAGCCAAAAACAAAACACACTTTAACTTTTTGGCTTTTGAGAGTCTGCATACAAAAATCCTAATAAATCTCAACTGCATTCAAACTACCGCAAAAATGGCTAGAAAGAAGCAACTGAGTAAAGAAACAAAAGTACAGATTTGTAGATTGAGAAAAGAAAGATAAACAGAAAGAGAAATTGCAAAACGCCTAAATGTGTTTCACAAAGGAGTCCACTACACTCTGAAGAGACTAGAGGAACCTGTAAGTTGTGATGATAGAAAAAGACCTAGATGAAAGAGAGTTACTACTAAAGCAGAGAATAAACATAGCATTGTCACCAGTTAGAGATCGTCGAAAGACAGCACCAAAAATAAGGGAGGAAGTCAACATGACAAGGTCGAAACCCGTATCTTTGACAACCGTGAAATGACGTTTGAGAAAGGCTGGTCTGAAGGGTTGTGTATCTGCAAAAAAACACCCTCTTCGTCCACAGAACAAGAAAAAGAGATATGAGTGGGCAAAAGCTCACAAAAATTGGACTTTAACAAGTTTGCACTGTTTGGTTCAAAACGCAGAGTCTATGTCCGAAGACAAACTGGTGAACGTCTGTAAGCACCATGTGTTACACCCACAATTCAGCATGGAGGTGGTAGTTCCATGGTATGGGGATGTTTTGCAGGTGATGGAGTATGAAGATTTGTTTGAAGTAAAGGGTATCATGAAGAAGGAACAGTACCACTCCATCCTCCAGCACCATGCTGCTCCATCTGGAATCAGACTTGTGGCTCATAAGTTTGTTTTGCAGCAAGGTAATGACACTAAGCACTCTGCCAAGCTCTGTCAGGGTTACCTAGACAAAAAAAAAGAGGAAGGTGTTCTTCAAAACATGGTTTGGCCCCCTCAGTCTCCACACCTTTCTCCAATTGAGCTTGTGCGGGATGAATTGGATCAATCGGTCAGAAAAATGCATCCCACGAATCAGCAGTCTCTTTTTAATGAACACCTGGTATATGCCAAGCTGTTGTTAAAGCCAGAGGAGGTGACTTTAAAGAAAGCAAATCTAAGCAACAATGACTCAAATACCTAATAATTATAGTCAAAATGTCCTCTGATAAGTTACTCTTTACACAATAGTCATGTTTATTGTGTTGCAAATTATATATATGAATTCATGATCTTTTTTGTACAAATCGGATCTTGCTTCCAAACTTTTGGCCTGTAGTGTAACGTACACTCATGCTTCACGCGGATTGATAAATAAAAGCCTCTGAAATGTAGAAAGACTTTGGTTAACCATACATTGTCTTTCGAGCTGAGCTTATGAAGAAAACAGGAAGGAAAAACATGGTTTCCTTCCTTTAATGTAATCGAGAAGTGAAATATTTTAACCACAGAAATACAAAAATGTGTCAAACTTTTTACCTGATTGAAGGATGAATGCAGGAGTGGCATCTGTGAAGTAATAATCTTTTATTGTTGTTGTTTGTTTTCCAGCTCCGCAATGTCTCCCAACGCCTCTCTCCACATCCCTGGGACATTCAAGGATGACCAGTCGACAAAGGTGGATGTGGACGCCATCATGGATAACGTGTCCATCGTCCTCTACACGCTGACTGTTGTGCTCGGCATCACGGGGAACTCCATCGTGATCTGGGTGGCCGGATTCAAGCTCAAGGTGGATAAAAAGTTCACAATCAAAACACTTTCTGTGGAACAATTATCAATTCGATAAAGATTGTATTGATTAATTTTGTTGGGATTGATAATTAAGTTTTGGTTACGAAAATCCCACGTATCCGCTTCTGATGAACCCGTTGTTATCCACATTTTATACAAATAATCAGACATGTTTCTTTCTGCCACCCTCAGCCAAAGGTCACCAACGTATGGCTGGTCAACTTGGCGGTAGCAGACCTGATCTTCTGCTTCACCCGGGTCTTTTCCCTCATAAAGAAGCTCTTCTTCGACCACTGGCCCTTTGGCGTCTTCCTCTGCAAGTTCAACGGCTTCTTCAAATACGCCAACATGTTCTGCTCCGTCTTCCTGCTGGCCGTGATCAGTCTGGACCGAGTGCTCTGCGTCTGGAGGCCCGTCTTCACCAAGCGACATCGCACCCTGTTGGTTGCGAGGTTAGTGGCTGTGTGCGTGTGGATCGTTGCCACCACCTTTAGCGCTCCGTATTTCTTTTACCGCCATGTCTACCCGGGGAAGAACAACCTGAGTAAGTGCTCTGTGGATTCAAAGGATGCGGCGCAAGGGGACAACAGATCCAAACTGGCCGTCTACTCCATCCGCTTCCTGTGTGGCTTCATGTTGCCTTTCATGGTCATCCTCATCTGCTACATCCTGGCCGGGATCGGCATCAGGCGAACTCGCCTTAGAGGGAAGTCCCGCCCCTTACGTATATTAGCCTCACTGGTGATTGCGTTCTTTTTGTGCTGGGCGCCGTACCACTGCCTCCTGCTGGTGAAAATGGTGGACAGTAAGAACCCGGTGGTGAAGATCTGGCACCCTTTGGCATCCGGCTTTGCCTACTTTAACAGCTGTGTGAACCCGCTGCTGTACTTTTGCATGGGCGTGGACATCAGGGGGCGCTTCAGGCAGAGTCTGGCGGGGGTGTACAAGAGGGCTCTGGCGGATGACGTGGACGGGCAGACGACCCAGTCCAATGATCAGTCTTTGGACGATAGCAGCGGGTCCAAAACGAGGACTCGGACATCAGTGGATGTGGATAAAGTTTGAGGTGGTACCTTGAGCATATGTTGGATGTTGTCATGGTTGACCCTCAAAAATCTGAACAAAGATGCACCAACAGCATCCTCAGTTCAAGTTAATGAACTTTCTCGCAAACTTTTTAAAAGTTTGTCAGAAAGTTTCCTCTTTTCATCAGTTACCTGTAAAGTTTTTGTTTTGTAAAGCCATCCCAAACCACAAATAACAACATGTTTAACTAACAACTGAATATATCAATAAGACAACAGAAATGACAGAGAAGTCAAAACTGGACTGTGGTCTGAAAAAATCAATGCTTGACAATCTTTTTGGAAGTCACGTGAAAACATTCGATTCATAATGAAACTGAAACTTTGACAGAGGGAACCACAAACTGAGCAAACATGTTACATTAAACATAAAAAAAAAATCTTTTTCAGTATCTAAAGATGTTGGGTTTGCATAATTTCATTAAAAACTGTGTTAATATTATATTAAAAAACCCTTTTTTTTTTTTTTTTAATTTTAGGGAGGATTGTCTCCCAGAAAATTTGTCAACAATGACCTTTAAAACAATCTTCTGCTTTCTTGAGGAGCTGAGTTCCTTATTTTTTAAGGTCAAACCTGCTTTTTTATTCGTTTACTGCCCCGACATGAGTAAATCCCACATAATGAGCAGGTCCCAGAGTGTAAATACTTATTTAATGTACATTTTTAAGAATATTTTTAATCTGTTGTACATTTTTGATCAAATTTCACATCTTATTTTTGAAGTGCAGACTGATGCGTTAAATTTACTTAAAATGAATAAGTTACATGTGAACATTTTCCTGTTTGGTTTCATGTGATAAAAGTCAAAGATAAAATGAGGAACTGTGCCCCGTCTGGAGGTTAAAGGGAAGTGAGACTGCAGGAGGAAAAGAGCGATCTGTTTAGTCATCACACTGTCTGCAGTTTCAAAGGTTATGATGAAGGACACATGAACCGAAACTCTTCGAAATAACTATCTGCAGCTATGAGAATCAAATCTAGGAGGTGAAGTAAAATCTAAGATGAAATCAAGGTTTTATTCCGGAATATCTCTCTTATCAGGACCAATTTTACAAGGGTGCAAAAACATTCATCGCACCCTTATTCCAAATTTCTGCCCTTTGAGTTGAACTTAAGTAATTTGAGGTTTAAGTGAAAAGAGTGAGTCAGATCATGTGTAACGCATCTGTGGTCATGACCGGTCACTGAAGCAGCACCCCCCACTTCCACTCATATGAACCCTAACTCTTTTGATCTCGACCCAGGCTGTGAATTATGAGTTTTAATGATGATAAAGTCATTTTGTTATTTCACAAACATAGAAAACCTCCTCACAGGAGCTTTAAAGAGGTGAAATAACGAGGGAAAACTCATATTTTAGGATGAAAAGTCCTTATTATATCATAAAAGTGAGAATCTTGACAAAGTAAAGCATCATTTTAAGGGAATAAGACAAAGATATAGTGATAAAAGGTCAATGCAGAGTTGTAATTGTGCAAAAATAGTCATATTGATACTCTTAATGCAGGATATAAAGAGTAATCATGAGGGAGACGGCCATTTATTTGAGATATGAGGTGTTCAAAAATTGCAGTTATTAAATACCAAATATTATTTTACCTCATGTTACAAAAGTTCAACAAGCAGACATTGAAACTCGTAATTATTCCTTCAGTTCACGTTTGTCAGACGCCTTAGAGGGTTAATTATCTCACTGGTCAGTAAACAGAGCAATCTCCTCTTTTTTTATTACACATGCAGAAAGAAAATAGAGTCTCTCCGCAACCAGATCATAAATCACAGCTGTGTTTGTCCTGCAGATTACTTACACATCACTGCGTTTCATGTCTGTGTTTTTAAACTACATGTTTGTCACTGCTCTTTACATGCAACAGATGTCAAATGTGAAAAAGAAACTTGGATCTCAGTTACACATTTACACTTTTCTTTTTGGCTGTAAATTTCTGTGGCATTTCCCTTTAACTCAATATAACTTTGTAGATATTTCCAAAAGAGGATAAAGAGACATAACCGTGCAAATAAATCTTTGTTATCTGCTGGAAATGACTCTTTTGTTCAAACTGTTTGACTGTGTCGAGGTTTAAACATCTCTGGTTTTAGTCCGAGGCTGATATCGTTGGTTCAGATGTTTATAAATCTGGTTCAGCTTTTAAATAAGTGTGTGAAAAGACTCTCAGCCTTTGAGGGATCCCTTAAATAAAACCAAAACACTTGTAAGATGATGAATTTCTTTAAACTTTCTTAAAAATGTTTCTTCTCTGAAAAGTTGAAATGTGAGACTTTGTAAAAATACCAATGAAATCAATGGAAAGAGGATGTGACCCTCTGAAATACTGAAGCAGTTTTAAGGATGTAAAACAAAAAATATACACAGACAAGCGGCAAAGAGGGCCTCTTTTTCTCACTTTAAGGTATTTATGAGGAAATGGAAGTACAACACTTTTTTTTAATCCAGGGTAGCACAGGCAAACTGGGTTAACACATATAGAAGCAAAAACAAGTTACATGACATTTTAATCCGGCTTTGTCAGGCATGTCTATAATCCTACGTATGTATCAGTTTAATCTTAGCAATCATAAAGTCACGCACCTTTAAATGAAGCACATTGACAACTTAAATACAACAATTAAAGCTGCTTAGAGGAGCATGTGAGGAAAGGCCATACCAGGTAGTCAAAGATGTAAATATCCGCCTTGATTTTACAAGTGGGTCAACTCTTAAATGGAGAAAAACGCACTTTCTTCACACCCAGTGGGACCCACCTGCTGATCCTGTGTATATATGTTGTACAAATGAATATATAAATAAAGTTAAAGTGAAAAAATAAGGTAAAGACTGCTATATAATACAAATTACTGCATCACTAAAACACACATCGACAGAAACTGACTTAGAATGCAGATTAATTAGACCTTAAAGCTCCTGTGAGGGCGTTTCTGTTTGAGGTGTTTTTGGCGCCCCCTGTGGACAAAAATATTTCTTCACCTGTACCCCCCTTGCAGTGTTTACAGGCATTTAAAACTACACTATAGAAATAATGGATCTTGTTTCTAATAGACGTGTTTGCTGAACTGGGTCAGAAAGAGACTATAGGGTTGATTTTAGTAAGTTTCATAACCGTCTTAAAACTTCTCACTGGAGCTTTAAATAGACGCTACAAGGTAAAGCATGATCTTAAGTCATTTTGTCTTTATTTGTGAATACATTCAATACACTTAAATAGCTAGAATATACGGTATATCATGTTTTATTGTAAAAGTAATGTATTAACAACTTCATTACAGATGTATCACTCGTAGGTATTTCCATGACATTACATTACAAAACAGTGCTTTAGTAGAAACAGATATAATACATATTGTTATATAATAAATGACTTATCATGAGCCTTCATATTTGATCATCATTACTATCATTTCACAAACAGAAATCAAAACTGATACAATTAAAAATTCAGAGTAAAGTAAAAACATTCTTCACTGTTCAGCTCTTTTATTTACATGCAAGTTCGGTTTATATCAGAAAGCACCCGTGTAACAAAGTCAAATAACAACAAATAACAAAATTAGTATTAAAGTGGCGAGTCTGTACCACTAACCTTCATTTAGTGGGACAGATTTTATGTTTACACGCATAAACACGTGTCACAGTAAGAGAAACTGTAGCTCAGTTTCACTCTGAGTAACCTTGTTCTCCATCTGCGGTCGGTCAGAGCTGTCTGAGTTTTCTGTTTATAAAGTTTCTCTAGTTTCCATTCAGATAAAAATCCTTCAATTTAAAAGTGATAATAAATGCCCAAAATATCAGTCAATAACTTATCCTGTTTTTACTGTGTTGCTCTACAGCAATTTTAGTTTTTTTAAATGCACTTAAAAAAACTTTGAAAAGGACTTAAAACTTTACCTATTTTAGGTTTATTGACTAAATAAGTTAAATTAATGCCTTTGACTGTTAAAATAGTTCTTTTACTTAACAGTTCTCTTAATGTCTCTTTCTTTGTTAGAAGTTTTTAAAACTCCATAAACTTGTTTTTGAGTCTACAAATTTAGAAACGTATTTGAAAAAGTTTTATACTCATGCTGCACTAAAGCGCTTTCATTTTAAGGCTTTGATCGATGTCTCTAACTTGGTTAAAAGGCTTTAAAATATATTGACCTTGATTAAAATTGTTTTACTTTCAACTAAAATGACTAAAAAAAGCTTCATGCACTTAATTAAAATGCTTTTAAGGCCACAGTTGACTCCATTTAGTCGTGTTCTTTTTTTTCATTTTAATTTTCAAACTGGACCAAAGAGATGTTAAGTTTCTTAAACTGGATTATTGGGTTTATTTGCATGTTATGAACTCGATTTAAAACAGTTTTATTTTGTACATTGGAATAAATTAGGTTTTATGACACTAGAAAACTGGATTTAAAGATTTATGTAATTTAGTTAACATAATTAATAAAGTTGAATAAATATAAGCTAAACTAAAAAAACTAGTATAAACATCAGGTAGTTAAACAAAGAGTAAAAGTTAGTTTCAAAGTGCTTAAAAGAGGTTTTAGTTGTGTTTGTTTTCGTCTCCGAGTTACACCAAAGTCCCGCTGTCGTAGGCCCTGTGGTGCAGACTGGGGAACATGAGGCTGTCGTTGTCGTAATCTTCATCGTCTTCAAATTCGTCTTCATATTCCTCATTGTTCTCATCGTCATTATCAGCTGTATCATCTTTATCATCTTTGTCGTCTTTGACCTGCGGAGTATTCACATAATTATAATTCACATCAGTGCTGAGCCACCACGCCTAGAACAACGAACGTGCCAACAAACTTTCCACCGCCGCGTTAGCGTGGGTGTGGGCTGTAATCAGCGATGAGTCAGTATTTATTCTGTGGTCAGCGCTGACATAATAATTGGCACTTCCTGTAAAGATTTGATGCAATCACAGCATCAATTACAGTGTTTACTTTACATTCATCAGATGCAAAACAATTCATTCAACTTCAAGTCGACTATAATTAAAACAACCAGTAAATATAAGCTGTTGCGCAACCCTTAAAGGTGGGGTAGGCAGGAATCTGTCAAAGAAGCATCTTTTTTTGTTGTATGTATATATATATATATATATATATATATGACATTTGGTAATATAACGATATCGCTGTGTTTTGTTATGTCTGTGTAGTCAACATTTTAACATTTTTGATCGGTCCGCTCTTTCTGACTGTAAACAAAGCCGTTCTCCGCCTCCCCCAACCTGATTGTTTGTGAGGCAGACGCTGCTCCCCTATCCTTGAATAACATACAGGAGCCCAAACAAATGTTAGCGTGCTACAATATCGGACAGTAGAAACCAACCAGAAAGTTCGGAAAATTGTCTGAATCCTCCTTTGGCCACGACTGCCGACACAAGCAAGAAAACAAAGTAAATACCGGAGACTCTGGCGGAATAACGGGCGCTTAAAATGGAGGTAGACCGGACAAGAGCTAAAATGCCAAGTCAACATAACACATCAGTGAAGGCTTCAGGATCTTACGGACCCTGTAACCTTTCTGCTGGACAGGTAAACCACTTTAACAAAGTAAGACAAGTGTCTGTAACAGAAGTGTTTCTTGTCAAACGGGACCTGCTGCGTGTTGTAGCGCTGCTAAACTGTTGACCTCAGGTCCTGAATTATGTCACTTTATCCTCGTTGTAGAAGTCCTGCAAACATTGTGTTGGCTGGTAGTCTGTTGGCATCTACAGTAGCACCAATGCTGTTAACTTTTATGTTGACTGGGCCCCATTCAAGATTTCTCCTAAAAACTGGCACTTCCTCAGATCCTGCCTACTTCACCTTGAATATAGATGGATATGATGCTGAAGGAGACAAAGAAGGAGCAGCAGCTACCATGAGTTTGCTGTAGCCGCCCACTGAGCAAAACTACAATAATACTTCATGTGCCGGTTGTTGAATAACATTAACAATTGCAGCTGTAAAACTGTCGTATTTACCTGTTTGACTTCATACATCTGTTTCTCCTGCCTGGACTCTGTATCCAGATAGGCCACAAAATGGATCAGGGTGTATATCCTGGAAACAAATGACAACATTAGAGGTAAAAAGGCCGACGGACACGTCCTCGTCACACTGACACTTCTGAAGGAACCGCCAGTTGTTACCTGTGATACAACATGGCGATGAACTGGACGAGGACCAGCAGGGCAAAAGCGATGATGAACATGAAGCCTATGGGCTCGATGTAAAGGTACTCTCCGGTGTACTGCAGGTTTATGTCAACCTTCGGCACCTGGATGAAGACGGACGTGTTTGTGACCTGCAGGGTGAAGGTCGCTACGATCCAGAAGGCGTTACAGATGAAGTAGACGAAGGTGACCTGTGCATGAAGAGCTTTATCAGTATTGTTTCATAACAGTCAAACACATCGATAAAAGGTTTAAAACACATTTTTATTTTCTTACTTTGTTTCTCAGCTCTTTCAGCTCAGCAGCCATTTCTTCCTGCTTCTTTTTGTTTTCCTGAAGAGGCTCCAAATATTTGGCAGTGAGCTCTCGGAAAAACTGGTCTTCCTCCTGCAGAGAAACAAAAGTGTTGTAGAGTTTGTTATTTTTCTGAAAGAACTCAAGTTTTTTTATATTTCATTGGCTTATGGATTGACAGGACACATGTAAAAAGCTGCTGTAAATAGCGCTCATATCCTCCCTAAGAGTAAAGGATCCTTAAATCATCAATTTACTTCTATCTGCTCTTTTTCCTGTTTGCAACCCCATCTTTAAAACACCATTACACTTTTTAATTCCTCGTAAACTGACTGATCACTCATGTTAGCGCACGTGCAGCAAATTTACTTTTATGGCCGTCATTTTCTATTTTCATCACAGATAATGAGAACAAACACACACAAGACAATTACGGTGAGTCAGAGAGAAGCTAACAGAGAGCAATAAAACTGAGAATTTACCGGATCGAGCTCGTCCTCGTAGAGGCGCATGTCGTCTGACAAACTCTGCAGCTGCGTGACCCAACCTGGACAAAAGAACAAGAACGGAACATCACGTGGCATGAAAGTGCGTGAAATGTGGGAATTTTCGTTTTGAAACTCATTTAAAGCTAAATGTTGATAAGACTTACACTGACTAGGACAGGAGAAAACAGGCTCTGCTTGTCTAGAAAAGAAAGATTCAAGAAAAAAAACAGAAAACCAGTTTGGAGACTTCGGGGTTTTGTGTCGCTGATGAAACACTGACTGTTAAATAGATTTTAAAAGTATATTTTTCATAGTTTACAGTTGTCGGAGTCAAACTTTAAGACTAGCTAGATATGGAAAACTATGTTCACTATCACTTGACTCACGTGCAAATCAACTATTTTTATATTCAGACATTGCGTAAAAGTTTTTTAATCAATAAGGAATTCCGACGCAGCATTTCTGAATTTAAAAAAATGTAGTCAACTCTCCTCTCATTGATTTTGGAGGCCATGTTTGTTTGGAGTAACTGCCAAGGTAGGTAGCATTATTTTATCGTTTTCTTAGTTATTTTGCAACACACTGATTTAACACACCTCCTTAAGGTTGCTTTGGTTGCTAAAGACACACCGTCTTACCTCGGCACCTCCTTCACATCCTCCACAATGGTGTTTTGGGGTTGGGGTTCCTGCCTCTCTACCTCAACCTCCTGGTTGCTGATGAGCTCTTCTGTGTCTTCTTTTCTGCACAGTTTCCTGCAGCATTTGGCTCGCATAAAGAAACGAGTGAATGCATTTTTGGCTGCAAAACAAAAAAACGAATTACAAACATAGAACGGAGTGTCGTCTGGATACTGATTAATAGTGATAGTAGCTCCATATTGAAGGTATTTATCCCAACTACTGTTTAGGTCAGGGTTAGGGTTAGGGGTTACTACCTTTCTGAGCTTGGGTTTGAGGGGTTGCGCCTGCTTGTTGAGCAGGTCCAGCAGGGGGCATCGTCTCTCTTGTGCCCCAGGACACATTGTTCATGTTGACCATAGAGTAAACAGCCAGCAGCAGGTAGGCACTCGGGATGCAGAGGATGTACAGAAAGCCGTAGGCGATCAGGCCAACCTCCTGAGGATGCAGGAGCGCAGTGACGAAGTAGAAGCAGGCGAGGGCGATGATGAAGAGGCTGCTGGGAGTCATGATGGTTTGTTGCTCCACCATGCTTCCTAAAAAGTAAGGAAAAAATGATCATGGGACTTAAAAGCGGGAGACCTTTCGTCGTGAAGAGGTTTAGTAGCATTTGTGCAACACATACCGATTATGACCAGTGCTGATATCATCATGAGGAAGGCGTACAGGACGCCCAAGACCGCTGCGAAAAGGATCTGAGTGTCTGCCTTGATTTTGAAGCTGACGGCGAGGAAGATGACGGGAGGTATCAAAGCCAAGAACAGAGCCCAGTTAGGATGGATGTCAAGCAGCACAGTCAAGCTACCTGAAGGACGAAGGGAGGTAAACAAAAGAATAATGGTTTCACAACGTCTGTACTCTAAATTAATCAATTCATTTGGCGCTTACGGATGTTAATAATTAATCAAATGTTAAGAGAAGTCATCATAAAAACACACTCAAACACACATTTTTGTCTGATTTTATCAACAAAGTGAGGTCTCAAATGATTTAAAGTGATCAAAATAAAACATGGGAACAACTTTTTAAAAGGTTGTTTCTCAAGCAAGATTCGACTATTTCCTCAGTAACGTAATTTTTGGACATCAAGAAATTTGAACTCAATAGTAGTGACACTGATCCCTCAACAGGACCGACCTGCGATCATGAGGATGACGGTGGACGGAGACAGAACCGACGAAGCCAAGCTGACGAGCTGGTAGAACATGTAGGGTTTGGACATAGATGGGTTCCTCTTTGAGATCACGGTGGTCGAGCCGAGTAAGTCCACGATGTTGGCCAAGGTGGACGGAGTCCAACGACGACGCTGGAAACAGCAAGTAAAGCTTAGCGACAGACTTGTGGTGAAACGTTAAAGTATTGAAAGTAGTGAGCATGGCAACCTCACACAAGGTAAAATGGAAACATGTCACATTATGTTTAGATGTTGACAAAGCTGAATTTGTGTTTTCTTAGTCATTTATGTAACTTAGAGGTCAGTTACACAACAGCATATTTCTAAAGCCATGACGTTCCCTCTACATGATTTCAACAGCATAACTACATATCTATTTTGGCTCATTCCTGCCTTTGTTTTATAGACAAGTACCAGGTAATTATCTTTTTTTACAATGTGAATAAGCACAATAAAAGGCCATAAAGTTTTGTCTAGCCCAAAGAACCACTTTACTGTCACATGGAGCAGCACAAAAAACAAACGTGTTGGGCAGTGCAAGACCGAACAAAAGCAACGATTATTTGAAGAGGCTCTTGAAATCACCTGGTTGAAAAACTCTTTGAACTCCTCTGGGGCGTTGGTGTAAGCGTCTGACGCTGCGTTGTACTCCACTCTCCATCCTTGCTTTAGCAGAAGAGTACACAGCCAGCGATCTTCTCCTGCAGGGGGAAGCGACAGGTTTAAAAAACTGAACTAAAAAGAGTCTGACAAAAAGTGTTTACCCAACTCTCATTGAAAACCATCCCTCTGTTTATCTGCCTTTTCTCTTACCTTGGTCGAACTGGATGTAATGTGCAGGCCTTGAAGACTTGATTGTGTATTTCTTCATTACGTTGTCGTCCATCAGCGCCGATGCTCTAAACAGACTGAAGCATCCCGGGCTACAGAGCACACAGCCGTACACGTGCTCTGCTGTCTTATGAAGCCAGTGACCGACGGCGTACTCAAACTTCTGGTACCACACCATGGGACCTGCGCGGAAAGGAAAGAAGCGTTGACTCGAAGCCTGAACATGGTGGTTTCTACTGTCTGACACCATCCTCGCTGCTTTAAAAAGGCATGTTTATAAATGACCAACCTGATCCAGTGGGGTGAATCCTTCCACATGCTGCACCAACAAGTGGGTACAGTCTCAGACGATCGATTAGCAGCATCACAGAGGACGGGTGAAAGTCGGTGTCTCCATCTAGAGCCAGGAGGTAGGTGTTGTGCTTCTCTCTCTGGAGGAATAGACAGTTTTTGTTTGTTTTACACATACACACACCTGTTTGATTTCAGAGCTGATAATTGTCACCATCTTACCTCAAACTCCTTTTTCAGCTCGGTATCTTCCCCTGCTTTGCTCCACCGTTTGTAATAGCTAGTGGCAAGCTTCCAGCCCAGGAGATAGTACAAGTACATGACCTGAAAATGGAAAAATATTTGGTTGACTGAGCAGATTCATGTTGGATAAACAGAGGAATAAGTTGTCTTAAAAGAACAGGTTTCGACCCTATAGCGTGTCAAGCTGTCCCCAATGTCAAGGTGGATTTGCTTCAGATGCCGGTATCAATATAACTACTTCTTGCTTTCCTACCTGAGACCACCTCTTCTTGTGGCGGATGAACTGCCTGTCCTTAAAGTGGACTGTCAAAGTGTTCCCGTGAGGCATGGTGATCACCAGACGTCCTCCGTACGACGTCCTGATGATGGACTGATCAGGAATCTGCTGCCGCTTTTTGAAGAGTCCTTTATCTATGTTTAAGAAGATGCTGTTGACAAAGAGTGAAAAGATTAATTCAAAGGATCATCTATTAGACTTTTCAACTCTTGAGGTTAAAAGGTTAATCTCTCTTGCTTTACCCGTAGACTTCTCGGATTATGTTTACAAGCATCTCTGCGTATTCGTTGACGTGGGGGCCATGACTGCCGGGAACCTTCTTGAAAGCATCGTCGAAGTAGATGTGACCTTCAAAAGTCACATCACTTTTTCCTCCTTCTTTCTTTGGCCTGTATTTGTCAAACCTGGGGAGTAATAAGAATCAGATGAAGATAAGTAAATCTGGATTAATCCGCATCAAATCTATTTCCCTGAGAGGACAGTTGATGTGAAACTCACCGGAATATAGAAATGACAATCTTCATCATCTCGTCGTAGGTTTCGTGCCACATGGTCGCGCAAAGGAACACTTTGACTGGATCAAGAGATCGGAGTCTGGCAAAGACAAAAATATTCTGAAATAAGAAGGGCTTGTACAGAAAAGCTGAAAATACTTGTATAATTAGACATGCTTGATGAGAAACTGGTGAGAACCCCTCATCATGACAAAAACAACATACGGTTCAACCTGTCCCTTTACTGAACCATCTATATTTGCGTAGTCTAGTATTAGCGCTGAGGTTTGAGGACACACCTCTTATAGTTTCTAATCATAGTTTAAGATTGAACAATACCAAGCAGGTTTCCAACACATCCATTGTCTCACTTGAAAGCCTTGAAACCACCACCTTTTATGTAACATGTCCCAGTGTGTAATTACACCAAGAGGTTAAATTCAGAGATAATAATTGTTGAGAGCCTCATGGTATGTCCTTTTGGAGCTCGTCATTTATGAATTGTTTGATTAACATTTGCAAATCACTATTAGGTAACACGTAGAAGAAGCCACGCTTCACATTGGTGTACTTACCGTCTCCGCTTTTGAACTTTCTGGACGTCGAATCGAGTGTTGAGGAGCAGTGACTGCTCTATGAATCCTCCCTCATAAAGCCTCCGGACGAACAAGTCCTGAGTCCTCTGGATGCGATACAGACTGAGTTGCCACAAGTGGAGGGTGGCCAACACAAGTCCGAGCCACCAGGACACGGCCGAACCTGGAAAAAGACAAAAGTTCACAAATGAGTCAATTTCTTAGCGTCAGGCACAGAGATTACCTCTATTCTTAGAGGGGAAGACATTCCCCTGATTAATGCAAATCGTGAAATCAATTAAGTTTATTTTGTTCTGATGTTCCAATGCAATTACTCATACTTGATGAGTAAACTGTTGCATGTATTTTACAAGTTTGAAGTGTTACTTTATTGTTTTTTTCTGTTGCCTGACCTGAACCGAGGTCCTGACCCTGATTTTATCAAACTTTGTGGGTCAAACTCAGGATTTAATTTTGGGTGTTTTTGGGGTATCTTTGATTCCCAGAGCCCTTCAAGAGCCAAGGTGCCCAGTACAAGTTCCTCCCATGAACCCTAACAGTTTGAATATGGTCCTGATGATTCTAGACAAAACCCCTTTTTGTTGGATTTTGGGCAGAACCCTTAAAAGGGTCCTGGTTGATCCTTAATTAGGGAAAAGGGTGATCATAGGAAGCAATACTTGAAGGGGACCAACATTTTTAATGCAGATAATATCTTGCAATTCAACTGGTATTGTTTGATGTGAAAGCGTGACCCTATAATTCTAAGTTTTTACCTGTCAGGATGCCAATGTCGGCCATCTTGGACATATCCAAGAAGCACAGAGTGTGCGTAACATCCAGAACCAGATCTGGGAACACACTGCCATTCATGTTTCCACTTCTTCCATCAACGACCACAGCACAGTAGTTTGTGAAGTTGGTATTTAGAGTCCCGTTCAGACTGTTTCTGTAGTCCTGATAGTAAACGATAACCGGGATGACGAGCAGAGCCATGACAGCCAGAGAGGCCAGGTACAGAGGCAGGACGAAGCACCGTCGCAGGGCGTGCATCTTGCAAGCTGCCAATGCAAACCAGTGACATAGCACAGAAGAGATCAGCTGGACGCCAATGATGATTGCGATGATTCTCGTCTCACGTCTTGGGATAAAGTTGACTATGTCCCAGTCCATTTTGGCGAGGGGGACGTAGATGCCGAGCACAACGGCGGTCACTGCGATTCTGAGCAGACTGGTGAGGATATTCAACATGTTCTGACTCCTTCTCACGTCTGTGCACAGGCTCTTCAGGACGACGGAGCTGCTGTTCTGACTGATCAGTGTCAAGTAGTTTTCCCACCAGTTCAGAGACACAAAGAAGGACGCACCGACGGCCAGGCCCACCCAAATCATCATCTTTGTGTTAGTGCTGTCCTTTGTAACGTACAAGTAGAGGAACAGGACATAGCCGAGCAAAAGGAGGAGGAAGGCGGTGATTGAAGGCACCAGGAAACGGTTCCTTTCCTTGGCGTTGCATTGAGTGATCACCTGCAGGAAGGAGGAGAGGACGGCTACACCGTTCAGTATCGTGACGTTGGTGACGATGTCCAAGTGCGGCATCGCAACGATTGTGAGGATTGCTGCTCCAAGAGATATCAAGAACTCGAAGAACAGAACCTATAGATGGAGAAGACATGAAAACTGTGAGCAGAAGGTCAAAGAGAATCTAAAAGACAGCCGCCATGTCTTTTCAGGCTTCAACGATGGCCTTGACATGTTCTCACCAGAGCAACCGTAGCCTTCGCCGGCATCTTTGAGGACTTGTAACAAGCTTTCCAGATGCTCTTTACTATGAGAAGGACACTGGGAGTTATAAGAGAGCAGCCAATACACAGCAGAGCCACAGGTTTCCGCTCATCTGAGAGGACCTTGGTGCCTTCATTGGACAGAGTGATGAGCAGCAGGAAAGACGTCTGGAAAAGAAGAAGAGTAAGACAGCTCAGTTGACTTAATTTGGATGGAGACAAAAAAATGAAATATATATATATATTTTTAAAACCATCCCTACATACACACAGTTGTACATATTATATCTGTTTATTTTTAACAAACCTTGCTGCAGAGAGCCAACCCGAAAACAATTATGGCGACCACCAGAAGACAGACGGTCCTCAGCAATTTGATCATTTTCCATGGCGTATGGTCATCTTCAATGACGGGGAGCTCTCGACAAGTGTCCCACGGCCTCCTAAAGAATCGACAAACACAGTATGTTGGTTAGATATAATAAAAGATGAAGAAATAAAAGATAGAAATGCTTAAAAATACATGTTGATAATGGGCATTTTGTTAGAAATGAATGAAGACTTTGCTCAGAGCCTGTAATTAGCTGTGCTTAAGCACAGATAACAGATAAAGTGAGGTAAAAGTGTTCAGAAACACAAGTGTCAGTAAATACCGGAGTTAAAATTTCATCAACAATAAAAACTAATAAACACTCAGGCACCATCAGACAGACTATTAGGACATCAACTTTTCTAGCTACTTTAATATTATAATATTATAAACTATTAAAAAAATTACAAAGTATGAACAAGCTTGAAGTGGACATTAAACTCGTATATAAAAGACAGTAGTGCAAAAGTACAATGATGAGGAGTGCAGTGGAGTGATTGTCATTGTGAAGAAATTTATATACATATAATATTACAGGTGGGTTTTATACATGGAGGTAAATATGCATTTTGTTTAAATACAGTATCAATATTAAAAGTATATATTAAATAACGGTGTGCAGAGTTACATGTCTAATAAAATGAGTGTTTATATATAAACTCTTAAACAGTTGAAAAAGCCTAAATTATAAATAAGTTAAACATTCAATGAATGAAAATGGTTTAAAAACAGTACTTCTGTGTATATTAGTTCATATTTTAATCAGTTTTGACTTACTTTGGCAGGTTTCGGTCTTCGTCCATGTTCGCGGCTGATGTGAACGCTCTGCTGGACTGTTTCAGTGTAGATACCACTCACCTGAACACGATGCTTTTACCTGCCATCAAGATGCCATCGTAATGATAGTCAGGATTGTCACCGCATAAAAGTCATTATGCAATATACCTGCCAAAATGACAACATGGAGGCAAAGCCGCCAAACAGGATCCAGATCTGACACTGTCTAACTGCAGTCATGACTCATAAAAGGATACAGATAATTCCATCTGAGGAATTTGGCATCATGCAAAATTCAAAATCTGAGTCATTTACGTACAAAATGTCTTTTTCTTGAACTTGAACTGAAACAGAGATGATGAAGATGGACTCTTATTTATCTCAGTGTTGATGTATTCATACTTTTAATAATAAAAATAGTCATGGATATATTCTGAACACATTTACATGAAGGTTTAACGTTGTCATGCATCGATGCTGCTTCTATGAAACCCTCCTTCTATGTGTATCACAGATCCAAATGGTTTCCAAACCCCAACCTCACATGGCCTTAAAAGTAGAACACTCTTTTCTGTTATGTTTACACACAGAAGACAGAGAAAGAAAGTAAAGTTCATGACTTTAAAACTTTGGATTCACCTTGAAGAAGCTGAATCTGAACAATAACAGGAAAGTGGAGACAGCTGGAGCTTATCCACCTTTTAGCACCTTCACAGGTGACTTGGCAGCTTCATCAGGTTGGGAAGGATTGGTTGGTGTTTTAACAAAGCAAGAAGAAAGAGTGCAATGTTCGGCCAGCCAAAGGTTAGGTTGTTTCATTTGTAGAGAGCTCACTAATGGGTTTACTCAACAAGGTAAACCCCTCATAAAAAGATTGGACTAACAGATGACATTTCTGGTCTCCAGATACAGGGATTGTTGGCTAAGAGGGCCTGCATGGTCCTTTATGGACAGATTAATCATGGGATTCTGGATTGAATGAGGACATTAGATCCTCTTGATGAACTGGACAGCAGTGATAAAAGCTGTGGTCTTCGCGGTTGATTCTTGTTGAAGGTCAGGGAAAACATCTTGATCTTGAGCTCCTGTTTGCTCTGATTGAGTTGTGATACACCTGCTGAGCTTGAGATGGAAATTTGATTCATGAAGGACCCTGGTGCAGGATTTGGAGAGCCAGCATCTTGTTCAATTCAAAAGTGTTGGACGACAGATTAAACAGATTCACAAATGCTCATTGTGTGCTTTGATAATGTCACAAAAACCTCTTATTAAATCACTTCAACATTGGCCAATCGATGACATTGTCTTGAACTCAGACAGCCTGTAATCGCACTTAAGCTCCTTAGACATTTGTCCTTGTTTTGTTGGCAGGTGACTCTTGGTCACACCTTGTCTACAGGTGTTTTTCGGGAATCAAATGACCCTGCTGTAATGGGACTAATTACCTGTTCGAGAATAACCAAGTGCGAGTAAAACGGGAACACACCCAGGTATGTACAACTTTTAAGTATTAATTATAATTTGAAAAAAACGTGTTGGGTTGCAGCATGACTAGTTTGTCAGGCTGGGAAGTCACAACACGGACATGAGACAGAAAACAGAGAAACAGAAAGTTATCAGACTCTCTCTTCTGTAGAAATTATGTTTGTATTTATGATCATTTTTGTGTCGCGAACAAGTTTGATGGGTATTTGGTCTTAATTTTTATCCACATGTTGGAGAAAAGTAAATCAATGCATTTGAAAAGTCGGCAAATGTATCTAGAAACAGCAAGACATCTGATAACGTGATAAAAATAAAGTTGCATTCTATCATACTTTCCCAGTTTTAATACAAATTTGATGTAAGTTTTAATTGTAATGTCACTTTTTTTACTCTTAGGCACATTAATGAGTCATAGAAGCAAGAAGTGTAAATTAGCCAGTTAATAATTAAGTGTACAACAATCAAACATGGCTGTAATTAGCCACACACAATAATGTGTGTTTAGGACACCATTAAAGCCAAGTTGTACAGTTATTGGACACCTAATAAGTGATCCCTATACACATCATCAAACCTATTGTAGAGTCATGACCAGATCATGTTAAAATTACCGCAGCATTTAATCTTACCAGCCGAATTAATCAGGACCTATTATCGTTTAATTACTTTACAAACGCTCTGGTCACACAAATTTGATGACTGATTTTTGTTCACTTAAGCCGCCTTAATGATCGGACAAATTATCGAAAGCACAACACCTGCTGATAAACCGGCCCTCTGCAACAAAACCAAAGAAAACCAATGAGGATATTTTTTGAAATTATCATTATTTTATTTTATTTTTGCATGCAGGGGCACTGGCAATAACAGGCATGTATTGTTTTCTATCCATCTATCCATTTTCCTCCACAGGCCACAGTGGCAGCATGCAGGGTAAAGCCCCATGCATCCATCGTCTCCTGTGGTACAGCACAAATTTGGAGATTCGGTTTTTAGACTGAAGTCAGAGTCACTTAGTGCACAATATATTTATTTATTATTATTTCAAATGTTGTGTCATTTAGTTGTGAAAAGTTGGTTGTTAATGATAGTTGTTTTGTTTGACTGGTCACCATGTCTGATTGGGATGTAGAGTTGTGTATAATCCACATAACTGTGAAATTTTACATTCTATTTACAGATCACATATCAAGCGTCTTTTTGTTGAGTTCTGAACAATTTGGGTCAAGAAACATCTGAGTTTTAAGGACTGTATCCTTGAAAGAGTATCATGGGGAATACAGGTATATAAGTAATGTTATAATATGACTGAACTCCCTTAGAATATAATATGGTGGAAGAGCAATTGCTAAGAGTTTAGTATCTGGATGACACAACTTCTCCTTTACAGCTATGCGTGAAGAGTTACACCATCTCTGGTTAACACGTGAAGCCAGACTCCCTCTTTTCTTCTTGCCATTAGCTTTAGCATCTCTGTCTAATCATATGAGAGTAACGTCAGGTAGATTGACACTGGAATCGGAGAAATGTAAGCTATCACGAGGGCTCTTAAGAAGGACGTTAAGTATCTGTGTAAGAACGTCATTGAGGCTCATTGAAGTCCTTGCCCTGCTTCCCTCTGATTGGCCCAGGACAGCAGGTCAGAGTGTCTAAAGAGGTGAAGGGAAACATCACAGTGGTTGGTCTCATGATTCTCATGAACTTTCTTTGAGATGTTCACTCAAATGCCTGTCCATCCGTCTGATTCGCACCATCTGCACGCAAACAAAGTACCTTTAGTTTCTCTGAGTTCTCAGCACACAAAGAAACAAAAAGCAGTAACATGTCCTCTGAAGTAGCACTCAGGATTCATTACCATTAAAATGATCCTGTCATGGGCATGTACTTATGTTCTGAGTCACATACAGGTGTGGTACTTTTATGAAGGTTCCCTTTTACTGCTTGTTAAGGTACGCTGATGCATACTGTAAGAAGCAGAGAAATAATTGGAGGATTTAGTGACACCTGACATGTTCCCCTAAACATATTCTCCTCATGAGGTACAGGGTCAGATTTTAGACCAAAGTGCACCCTTGCTCACCCCTGTTGTTGGTGGAGTTACACAAGTGATGGTGGCCTTCAGTACGAGCCTCCATTTGACAAGATTTTACCATCAAAAACACCCATCAGACCAAATTCTTACAAGAAATCCAGTTGTCAGATGATCATGGAAGCAGCACTGATGGTTGGACAGTCCATGATGTCCTACTGTTGTCTTTTGCGTGTTTGTCGAATGGGAAGTTTAAAAAAGGTTATTTCAAAATTGGAAAAGTCAGAACCATCTCAACACCTCAACATCAGGTACAATGTCAGCCCCATCTATCCATCCAGCTGTCCGTCCATCCACTCACCGTCAATGTCCTCATCTTCCCATTCAGTTGGTATAGATCCTATCCCTCAAGTATGTTCTAGGTCTACACCTTGTTGTCCTTACTGTTGGACATGACCATAAAACCCTTTTAAAGGAGGTACTCAGGAACATCCTGATCAGACACCAATACCACCCTAACGGACCCCCTTCAATATAAATGAGTTATGGCGCTACTACAAGCCGTTCCTTTGGATCACCCTCTCACACACGGTATTAGTCTGTGAATGTCACCTTGTTTACAAATACAAATACAAGAACTTTGCTGATCCCCAAAAGGAAGTTTGTTCGTCTTGAATCTCAATTGTTTCGTGGAGAAAATCACACAGAACTTCAGCCGTTGCCTCAGTTGGGATGTATTCAAGTATTTTTATGTTCGTGCGAGACCTTGACACACAAAGGTGATGGTTTGTGCATACCACATTTAGCATCCTCTGAGTCACCTGGAAATACCTGAGCAAGGTTTATAATGTCAGATAGTGAGCTCTTGATCCATCTCTCCTCTTTAACTGTCACCAGCTGCTTGACATTTAGGACATGACGGAGGATCGTTGCAAAGCAGGTCTGTTAACCGAGGCCATAAAGTTGTTTATTAAATGTTCTGAATGCATTGGCTGGTCTGGAGTTTGGATGCAAATGATGTTAGTGAACTAAACAACCATTGAAACCTTTACGAAACATGCAGATCATGGAGAAAAGGTAAGAAACTCTGAGCTCAGCCTGACACCTTTAAAGTCACCACAGCTCTTACACATATTAGACTGTCAAAGAAATTTATGATTCGATGTCTGTATTAATTCAACGGCACTTACCTAAAGGACGAACAGGCACACCTTTGTGACATAACAAGCTGTCACGAGATGGACCCTGTCATTAAAATACCTAGAAAGAGAGATAAAGCCTCGATACTGCGTAAACATTAATTATAACTCTTTGAAGGTTTTGACTGAATCTCAAATGCTGCTCCAATTTATTTGGAAGGAAGGGGTTGAAAGCCTTTAATTTTAGCTAGTCGGATTAACATCTATAGGAGCTCAATACAGCTCTGCGTTCTGCCTGATTTTGCTCTCCACTCAGACGCCTTAAGCCTGGTTTATGCGTATGTGACGAGACCATATTGTAGACCCCCAGCCC